GGGGGGGGGGGGGGGGGGAGGAAGAATATGCTTCTCAAACTATCCATCTATTTCTCCCTCTATCCATTTATTTATTTATTTATTCATTTATCAATCTATATCACTCTCTTTGTCTCTATGCGTTTATAGCTTAGTTAACTGAGGTACTTGGATTTATTCGTTACGCGCACTTTCTAGTTGCTGATGAATCTGTTTTCAGCATTGAGAAACTTAATTCCATTGGTGTGAACTTTGTGGTTGTTAAATGATGAGTAGTTTGAAACGGCGATTCATCATTCGAGACGCGCGCTATCTATGCGTTCCTCTTCAGGAGCCAACAACCTGAAAGCCCTATGATCTTACTAGTCTCCGGTAACACGGAAACCTCTGCAACCAGACTTTGGTCCTGCAATCCTTTCGGGTCAGGTGAAACATGTAAATTTTGACTTCACGACGTGATTCTCTTGACAATGAGCTACACAAGGGACTGTCATCAAGAAAGTTAGTTCAAAGATAGTCTGATTGGTTACAAGGGTTAACTAGAATGGCGTGACTAAGGACGGCTTAGCTCACCATCAAAGCTACATCTCCTGACTAGAGGCAATAAAACATATTATGCGACAGCCATTTGATACAGGCTGTTCTTGTGTCAGGACTAAATCTCAGTGCCACGAATACCCATCGAGTGTAACCAATAAAGCCATACTTAGCATTCGAACATAGCCAAACACAAACCAATGCTAATGGTTGCTCACATTTGCTGATATTTTGGAGAAGGGATTGTCTCTGTTTGGCTTTTGCGTGGTCGCAATCCCGCCCTTTTCGACATCCACGTTCACATCACTCTTACAGTTCTTTTCCTGTTCTGGTGAAATTATTCTGCTGGGCCCATATTAAACGAGGGAAGTACTGAAGTCGAGTTCCGACTTCTGTGTTGTTAATATTTCCCCCCTGTTAATTGAATGCGCCAGGGAGCAGAGAGGTCCTTTCACAGAAGGCATACCTATTCAGGGGAACGTGTTGGGTCGGAGATCACTTCCGCAAATAGAATTCCAAGGAACTATTCACATCTCTTCCATTTTACATCATCTCCACCCTGTTTAGCTTACTGGACCTCCACATCGATCAGCTGTTCTCGACCGCGAACCACAAAACAAAAGATAATGGGAGAATGTTCAACTGATCCAGCGGTATCAGAATCCGTAGTATGCACGGTGCTGCGCGACTGTATGCAAGCGGACGGAGCAGTATGCATGGACCCGACACTCGTAAGCGACAAGTTATCACTGCGTTCTAAAATTTCTAGGAGCCTACCATTCCGGTTGAATACAATTCCACTTGAAACTGTTTATTTTTTTTTAGGATATCCACACCGTGTTCAGTCCAAATGAACTGGACTAGAGTGTGCTCCATGTGATATTTATTTCGTTGATTGTCGATGGGAAAACCCAACGTTAAGAGCAGAGTTCTCCACAGCTCAAAGTTTCGAGCACGGGGGATAACCTTCTTGGGGAGCAAAGTAATCGGACATATTTCAGGATTTCTTATCGCTGACAGTTAAGGGGTTCCTCATGACTAGATTTGAAAAATAGAAGCATCAAACTACACAGATATCCGTGGCATTTCTTAAAACCCAAGGAATCCGAGATATCGCAACGTCATGATTTAAGCACAGAATATGAAATTGATAGAAGAATTCGACACCTTTTTGTGGATCCCTTAGTATGTTCCTCAGTGACTGCTACGAATTTTGAAGCTATCTGAAAATGGACCGTTTCTCTTGAAGCTGCTCGCCATATACTTATTGCAGTCATCAGTGGCAACTGTCTAAAAGACAAAGGCGAGGAAGTCCTATGACCTAAAATTGGGAATTCTCTCGGTAACTTCCGTATGTAATGGGCAATCACTGATATACTGCCAAGTTGTTACCTTTATAATCCTCCCTCTTTGAAGGACTGCTTGTTTGGACGGAACGGAGGACAATTTCCTTGTTCGCATCCTCAACAAGATCAAGACAGCAAGCCACCAAGCCATTTTTCTGGCTCTTAAAATTCAAACAATATTTTCTATTGGTGATAAGGAAAAAAAAGTTACTGAAAATGATGGCCAGTACAGACTTATTCAGTTTCATATGCCCATCGACTAAAAGATTCGATGCTGAGAGAGCAAAATTGCACAGTTTTACCTATACATTGGCGCCATCAGCATGTCCTAATCACCGGTATTAGACAGGGGTTGCTTCACTCAAAGGGACTTTGCTTGTGGGCGACCATACACCACACGCACGCCTCGTACAAGTAGCAAGTACTGATCTTTCGTTCTTGTTTAAATAAACCTTTGGTGAGATGATCTACGCATGGCATCAACTGAGCTAATGCGACCAACGATTCATACACTCTTGGTTGGATAATCTTGACAAAACTGACTCCCATCACACAATCGGAATAATCACCCACCGCGGTTAAACCGCACGTAAGTGAAACCGCATGTCCTGGTTTTATAGAGCTCATTAGAAAACCAAAGAAACAGTAAGAATTGGCATTTCCGGTTTTCCGCGAACCGGGTCAAGCCATGACCCAGTAATTCATCCTTCATATTGCCCAACCCGAACGACAGGATCCTCGCAGTGTTTCAGATTGTATCTATTCAGTGCCTCACAACCAGGTCACACTCCGTTCACCCTCATAGCGTGCTATATTAGGCTATTTACCACCACTTCAAGACGATTCGGACAACAGATTTGCAGTTTTCGAACATGTGAGTTAAGACCTTGTTTAATTCTCTTTTATTTGAAGTCAGGCGTTCAATCCCCACATTCGTTTGACACAGTAAAATGTTGAACGTTCTGAATATCTCCATTCACGGACGACTGCGATGAGATGTGTTCAGCCCTTCGTGGAATTCCAGCACACTTTTTCCTGTAAATTGATGGGATTCATGAGCACCCACAGGCTTTGGATGGACAACCCTTCTCAGGCGTTTCTGTTTGATACCGCACAGAAAGTTTGTGTGTTACCGTGCGAGAACTGTGTTTTTTTATCAGAAACAGTAACCTTATTATGCACGGTATATCCTTCTTTCCACTCCAACTGTTCTGTGCGTTACCACCGGCAGAACAGCTATTTATAATTAAACAAAAGTAACAATGAGACGGTTGGTAGAATAGCAAATCAGTTATTGTCTTTGTCTGGTTTGTTACAGACCAACCTCGGCCGAATGGCTGTTCAAGCTGAATGGCTCACAGATCCTGCTGATTTTCAACGTCTTGTTACAGTGGCCCTAGATGTGAGAGATAACGCCGTTGCTATGGCCGCCGACAACGACACGATCCCGTGGGTTAATGAGTTCGTCTATTACGTCAATCTGATTTTACGGGCGTGGCCTTCGGCGCTGCAACGAGCTTGTGACACACGCCCGTCGAAAAACTGTAATACATTGAAACAGATGGGTAATCAAATTATTGAAAAATTGATCCTGATTATCGCGGCCGTTACAGATCCTAGTTTTGAGGAAGCTTGGGTGGATATCTTGTCGGAAGGCATAGCCTATCCTTCGACATTGATAAAAGCTACCAGTGATGTGCTCCGTTCGGTTAGCAAGGAATATGTGGCCCTCGACGAATGTGAGAAGGAACAAAAAATCGTCACGAAAAGTGGTAGTGCCACGATTGTTGCCATCAACACGGACTCATCGTGCCCCAGTAGAACGCTAGCTTTGACCGCACAGAGTCTGTTGCCTGAAAGTGGTCTCGGTAGTGCGACCTTCGAAATTTCAAGTGAACTACTTAAAAATGGTTCACAAAGAAATGGCTTGGTCAGTCTAATTGGCATTAGAGCACCCAGTAAAGACGCAAAATTGGTGGCCGGTGGTTTGCGACGAGACAGGTTCGCGCATCATGCATTCCAAGGTTCTTCTGATGGTCCACTTGGGGATGAACCTATGAGTGCATTGCGGCAAAAAGCCACTGAACTTCAAATTCAAAGTCCGGTTTATGTGTTCAACACAAATATACAAAGTGAGGTATTATCCTGGGAGACGGCTAACAACAGCTTCATACTGAAATTCACCGTTCGCTTGGCTAGTCAGAATGAATTCCAAGATGTGTACTTCTATCGAGCGACAGGTCGCAGAAAATGGAAAGCAATGGAAACGGTAAAACAAAATGAGCTAGGCCAGGGCGAAAATGCCAGACTCGCCTTCCCAGTTCGTTGTGTTTTTTGGGATTCACGAAACAACAACAGCGATGGAGCATTGTGGAACGACTTGGGCTGTGTGCCGATTGGTGCGAATCTCACACACGTGCAATGTGCATGCACTCATTACAGCGCGTTCGCAGTCGCGATGGAGCCGTCAGATGCCCCAGGAAGGCAAAGGTCGATCTGGATCACATGGGGCATATCGGACGAAAAACAACACGATCAAGTGTTGAAGATTCTGCTACTCGCTTTTAATGCCCTATCACTTGCTTGTTCGATCGCATTCTTGGTTACGGTTATAGCATACATGGTCCGGTCGACATTTCAAGATGTCTACGTCATTCACATTGCGATGTGCATAGCCTTGATCGCTTTTCATTCCGCGTGGATGGCAGAACCACTCGTTGAATCGTCCAGAATCGGTTGCCTGGCTGTCAGTGTGACGGTTCACGCATCGGCTTTGTTAACTGCAAGCTGGACACTATGCGAGACCATTGCCCTATTCCGTTGTTTTGTGCTCGGAGATTTCTCGTGCAAGAGGTTATGGATGTGGTTTCTTGGATTAGTGACACCGGCCATCATTGTTATACTTCCTGCGTCATTGTCGAGAATGGAAAATCATGGGGACGATGTAGCTTGTTTCCCGGGAAGAGAATCCTACGTATTCTGGACTATGTTTGGCACGATTTTTGCCTACCTATTCATTTCGATTGTCGTTTGTCTCGTCATCGGCTGCAACATTGAGACACCTGCATATCTGAAGCCCAAGCTGATTGAAAAACTGATGTGAGTTTCCACTGTGTTTCTTCAGAATCATCACCATCATTTTGTTCCAGTTTACTATCCAATTTTGCAATCAATACTTTTTTGTTAGTGGCTTGTCCAACTCATGCTGATCCACTTTAATAGATTAAAACCTTTTCCCCGGGACGGATGCTTTAGTCGTTGAGGTAGAATGTCAGTTTGACCATGAAATCCTAATATTCCCGTGTCATGCAGCCAGTTATATCAATTAACCGATAGCCGGATGTGGATATATTGCGTTTTTCGGAAGAGAGATATTAGAGGTGTTGTGTTTCACGGATCTCTGAAATTTCTCACAAGTGCAGCGATTGATACACTATTGGAATCAGTCCGTACTGATATCTTGGCCTGAATGCTTTCTGGAGCGTTACCGGTGCTGCTATTGCCCAGCGAACTATCGCGTTAACTGCTCGGGCTTCGGGCACCAAACTGTGCAGTGATTTTTCGTTGCTACTGATCACTGTATGAGACAACACTGTACTGGACACAGTAATACGGTGAAATAGAAGCCTTGTAATTTCCTAGAAACTCCGTCTTCATACGGTCAGGATTATATTTCTGTCTTGCTTAGATTAACATTTAAGCCTCAAGACGTGGTTAGAGTTTTCTGCCAAGGTCAATTAGCTGTGTGACTTTCGTTGGTGTCTCTGTTTGGGGTAACAATGTTCGCATACATGGCTACACTTCAAGAGGATGCACTGAAGGAGATGCCTCCACGAGGAGGGTGAAACTGTCCGGTTTCCAGAGTATTTTCACGCAATGAGAGATAGAACGCCTCCAAGATAGGTATGGCCACTTGCGATTGTATAAAAGTTGAGGGTGCTCCTATGGCTGTCGGAGTGCTCAAAGTTTTTCTTTCAATAATGTTCACTTCGTGTACCAGATCAAAACAATATCCGTTTGTTTCTTCTTTCATTTTCAATCAGAACGATGTGGTGAAAAATTGCAATAACAAGCTTAGGAGCTGGTGCCCCAAAGCAAAGTACACTCTCTAGAGGACCACGTTGGAGAAAGTACTGTGTAATATGCAGGACTTGGTCGTCTTGTTTACGATAGGCCCCAACAGAGGAAAGACTGTTCGCGGGCTGTTAAAAACTTTTGAACAACTTTATGTATGGTGTGTTACATCCAGAACGTGTGCTGCGATATCTCGAATATTGTAGCGATTGCAAAACGATGCTGCCTGGAGCAGCACATCCAGTTGAAGGAGACCATCTTGAACGGGAGATTAAGCTGGACTCAGTTGGGACGGCCGTCGAAACTAAATTTGTGTACAACTAAGTAGTTGTCGAAATAGGTCCGATTTGGGTTTAAGTAAAACATGAGGTTAAGGGAAACTCGTGAACCGCGCCTACCTGATTAGCTCCAGGAAGGGCCAAACAGGTCGTGGGCTATCTTGATACCTTATGGGTAGCGTGCTTGCTTTTACAGAACTCTTCACCCACTTTGCGTGGACTGGGAGGCATCAGACAAATGTGGCAAGGCCAGTCATATGACACCCTGATGAACAGTTCCCGTTTGTGGTTGGTAACAACTTGTCATGATGACAATGTCATATGAAAATATGATTCATGCGCAATTAAATTCATCCTGAGAAAACAACAGTTCTGCACCTTAATTCGTTTGTTTGTCAATCGTTGAACTTAAACTCTCTAGTCTGTCTGTTGGCGTATTTTAGTAGACAGCGGCGGAGCGGTTTTCATACCATAATCAAGACACCTAAATACTACCACAGGGATGTAAGACGGCCTTTCTGAAAGCTGCTCACAGGCTGATGTATGATCCTGGGAATGCGAGGCATGGAAACGACGTCGTTGGCTATTTCCAATCCCAAAAGATGAGAGCAGCCCACCTCCTACTAATATGTTTTACAACCTACATTTTCCTGTATTTTTGCAGACAACGTGCAAGCCAGCTCAACTTTCTGACTTTGTTCAGTGCAGCTTCATGGGTGGCGGTGGTCGTAGCTCTGCTACTCCCCATACCTTATCTGCCCTATGCTGCTTTCGTAGGAATCTCGTTACTGGTGAGTCAGCTGATTAAAGCTAGTTTGTTTGATTACAAATTAGATTTTGATAGAGTAAGTAAATCGGCTAATGGCTATATACTGAAAGGGTAGCACCAGTGAATGTTTATTTAAAGCACGGTTTCACTAGCGAAATACACACATTTGCAAACTAATTTGGTTTTGCGAGATTCACCTAGAATCCAGCACATTCACTTGCCTGGAAGCATCCCAAACGAGAGATTCAGTTGGGTTCAAAGTGAGTCTCTCGCAAAACCAAATTAGTTTGAAAATGAGTGTATTTCGCTAATTTCGTACAATCTGGTTCCAAGTAGAACATAAGATTGACGGAAACTCGGGGACTGCGTCTACCTGATGAGCCCCAGGAAGGGCGAAACCAGTCGTGGACTGTCAACGAATTTTTAGCAACTTTATGAGTAGTGCATTACGAATACACGATTTCACTACTTCATCGAATCAGTATCAGGTTAATCGAAGAGGCTTCACTACTGCCCCTAAGAAGTGGCTCATCAGTGAAGTCACCATTGATTGAACACGTCCTTTGGACTCACAGCATCTTTCGGGAGATGGGTTTCTTGAACCAAACCGATTAGGATGACGAAGACCAGTATTTCGATGGACTAAAAAAGCAACGGTTTTGAACAATCGCTTCTGAAATCAACATTTCGTGCAAAGTGGGACTCGCGGATCCTATGTAGAACATGTCTTCAACAAGCTCATTATTTGAAAACGCTAAACCGCTTCCTCCACAGTGTGCTGACCCCATGAAGGTTTGCTTCAACTATCAGCCGTTAAAGGTATGCTGTGTAGTTTAAAGTATCTTGGTCCACCAGTTTCCATTGCTGCTACACTTAACAATAGACAGTACTAGGGAAATCTACCTGATCAGCTAGAGACTGCGACAAAATTACTGTCCCTAACAAAAAATCAGGAAACACATTCGGCTCTCGCTGAGGAGACCGTACTTCGGAAAACTGTACAGATAGTTGCTATGGCCGCGCTAACTCCATACTAATCATCGTGCTAGCATCTGTGGTGGGTTTGTTGGTTGTCGATCGGTTTGTCAAGCTTGTTCGATACTGAAGTATGCCGGAAAATCGACAGAAATATTGACACATTTACGCTGTCCTACCGAACATAACGGTAGCTATCAGTGACCAGCAGATGTGTTGAAACGGCTAAGACTAGCGACACAATAACTTCACGCAGGCACAGTCGATCAGTGTGCCGGATTTACTTCACCAGTTCTTGCTGCCACAACTGTTTTCAACAAATGTGGAATGAATAAGTCGCACTCTGGGTGTAATCAATTAACCAAATCTTTGATAGGTACTTTTCCCGCCTTCTTGGGGTTGAAAAATTGGACATCTACGAAATCTGGGAGATGATTGGCTATACGACCGCACTGCTAGTCAGTCTCCGTAAAAACTAGCATGTCCTAATTGAGCTCCATTCCGGAGAGTTCACCAGTCGGGGCTTTCGTCCTTTGGCGATAACTTTCATCTTCGGGTCGTTCGTGGTGCCAATTAAACGCAAGACTCCGTTCAAATTTTTTCTAAGTGTTTTACGTACGACGATAACCGAGAGTCTGGAATTAATTAAGCTTCTATTTTGATTTCAGGGCACCCTTCATTTCCTGTTTCTCGACCTCGGAGATGTAGATTTGCGCAAATTCTACGCCGGTAAATATTCAGAATACTCCGGGGCCAAGAATGGCAAGATCAACGAAAAAGTTGACCTCAAAATTCCTGGTGTAGTTCAACATGACTTTCCGGAGCATTACTCGACATATGACCAAGAGGGATTCAATTCATCCAGACAATCAACCGACTTGGAAGCAGGAGCGGATATTAGTGCATACAAACGACAATTAGATTTCAAAACAGACTACTGAAGAGTAAAGAAGTAGTAAGGCGCCAAACCAGGAGGCGTCGCTCTTTTGTTCTGTATCGGACATTCGAACTTATTATCGTCATCATCATTATTTTCTCCGTCATTGTTCCAACTCACTTTGTTTGTCTGAAAAATCATGCTAATATTTTATTCCCACGAACGCACATCAATAAAACCGAAGTTCCATGCCCCGTGAGCTTTTACTAAGGACCCCGAATGACGAAGACTGAAAACTCTTTACATTGACGGTTGACAAGAAAAACGGTCTTTCGTGGCCAGGTAAAAGGTCATCATAGTTGAAGAGTGTATTGGAAGGAATAGCCTCTCGGGTGAACAGGGAAACCCGAATAATGCAACCATATGCAAAGGTTGCTTATCGCATCTCCCAAACAACTGATATTGGAATGCTGGGAAACCAGACATGGAAATGCGGTAAACCCGGAAGTGGGGTTGGAAAGCAAAGATAAAATCGCGGTGAAAAATACAGGAGAATCGTACCTTGGTGGAGCGTAGCAAGTGGAGTGAAAACGAGGAACCTGACAAGCAGCGTTTTGTCAACCTGAGAATGTGCATCTGGCGTGTACAATAGGCAAACGAACTCCAGGTGTCGTTTTTGATTAGTACAAAGATGACTTGATACAAGTGGATGGAGTGAATACGGCTTGAAAACCATATACTACTAAGTGATCAGTCTGCACTGGGCAATTTCTGGGACAAATTCGCGGATCACATGATTCTGTTTGGACTGAAGGCCACAATTTGTCCGAGGACCGAAGTGGCAGGTGACGTAAGTTTATTACAAGAGGAATCCTGGGATCCCACTATGCGAAACCAGCACAAGACCATGTGGTATTTACTTCGAAATGTAAAGACGATTTCGAAGTACCTGTAAGTTTCATCCACGAAAGAATTCGCAACGGAGTTAAGTCTTTCGAGCCGCAAATTCATTGTCGGTATATCTTTTGGGAGAAAACCAGTTAACTCCATCCCAGTTCGTAGCTTAGTTGGTAACATGAGAAAGGCCACAGATTGAACACCTTCTTCTGGATCAGTCAACGTTGGACTAAACCTGAGCGGATATTAGACGCCAACCACTTGAATCACTAGGATTGCTGATTCGATGACCCCAACAGGAGACACACATACAGGACAATCAAGTCCAGAGAGATCGATACGTTGAAATAAAGCTAATGGGAGTAAGCTAGAGCGAAATGCTTACAGTATTGAGTAAGTTCATCCGCAACTTCCCCAGTGTAACCCAGACCCAACATCGATAATAATGACTGAGCAGACAAAATATAAGTGGAGCGGAAGTGACAACCAAAGACAGATTACGCTGATCTTGCATGGGAAGTTTCCACCATCAGGAATGCTCATATTCACGTGTCAATCTAGTCTATTTCTGAACAGACGGAATGTTCCGAGCTGTCACTGGTCTTCAGTCGTTGGTACAGTCTTTAACCCCAGAAGGCTATACCTCAGAGTGAAAACCGTTCCGATGAATCTGACTAAGCAGCTCAAGTGTCACACATTGAGTGAAATCGTTAGTGAATGGTTACTTCACCGAAACGACAGGGTTTAATTCTGCGCAATTTTTTCCTCTTGATCGATCAAGCAACCCAACCATCTCTGCCACAAATACGGAAACGACTGACTATCCCTGGACACCAGAACAAAGCGCTTGTTTTCAACCCAACACGGCTTCAGTGGCAAATGTTTATTGAGTGTGACATGGGGTCACGGTAATGTTCAAACAAGATTCACTGTTTTCATGAAGGGAACTACTCGCAAGGTTGCTGAAAACTACGACAGCCCACGACCGGTTTCACCCTTCTTGAGGCTCATCAGGTGGGCGCAGTCCCCGAGTTTCCGTCAACCTTATGATCTACTTGAACCCAAATTGCACTGTTTTCGAGAAATACACTCATTTGCAAATCAATTTGGTTTTCACGAGAGACTCAATTGAATCCCTCGTTTATGATATTTTAGAATAAGTATTATATTCACTGTTCCTTAGAAGAAACCGCCCCCGGTGGTCCAGACCTTAGACCTTTCCCTCTAATACCTTCCAGTATTTCTTCAGTATGTACCATCAACTCACAGTGCGCAACTTCCTGCGTCTTTTCCGCGCCCAATTCGGAGATTCACCCACAAACGACGCTATTCAGACCACTGAGCATATCAATGAACGTTTGAAATTAGAGGCATCCTGTATGAACTGCACTTCATTTCAGTCAGAGGGGAGACTCAGTTGGGATTATCGAATGCTTCGTTTAAAAGTTTCCGGAAGCTCTGTCAACAACAGCACAAGCAATAACCCACCGCTACGCACCACTACGCTCCCCAATAACACACTGATGATGTCACCTCGATTGGTGATCAAGCGTTTGCAATCAAATTGCCCAGCTCAGCGAACAAGCCAACGACCAGCTCTGTCAGTTTTTTCGCAACTTTTCCACCATTTGGTGCATTGACCTCGGGAGCAAGGAATTACTTCCGAAGGAAGTCTACGCACCGGAAGAGGTGGAAACGCTTTCTTCCGTGTGGTCAGTTGAATTTTTCAGCTCAATAATCATACTCCCAAATGCGGTGTTTCCAGCTGCTACAACTTCGTTTACCCAGGATAAGAAGAACGAGGGAATGAGAGCCATGCGTTAGAGGCGATGGCCACTCTACAGCAGGTACACTGTAATGCCAAGTTAACTAGATTGGGCAGCCGCACACACAACCACGCTCATCATAGAAAGCACTAAAAACTGAGCCTTTTAGAACAACAGATACTCTATGACCACAAGACACGATAGGTCGACTTACATTTCCGACGATAGTGACCAAAAGGAAAAGGAGTTCTGAGAACGAATGAATTAAAAATTTGCAAGATAACATAACGTTCGCGGTGGGTTGTTGGTCAATGAACAGGAGAACTTGAAGAGAAACAGAGAGTAGTGCTGCCTGAATGATCCACAAAGGTGTTCAGCCACGAGTATCACCGGCTTCACCGTTCACAAGCACCAAGGAATCTGCCGTCAGTTTGTGGTTCATGGGGACCGGGGTGGGTAATCCCAAAAGTTCGGAAACTTTGTTGCGAATCGGCCGAACCGTGTCGAGATTGGATTCCCTAAAAATGCGATAAACTAATTTAATGACGTTTCAACATTGAAAAATATGCTTTGTATAAATTGGGCAACTTTGCAAAGCTTCATGTTGGCGAAATCTGCCGACCCTGTTTATTGACCCAGAACTGTACGGTTAAAACAAGCCAGGTCTTAAACAAAGATAAACGGTACGGGCGCATGGTAACAACGAAGAACTGCCAAGAATGATTCACGATAATGAGAATATTCTCTCAATATCTGAGACCGAACTAGAAGGCAGCCTAACATTTGGTCCCTGTTTGTTTCCCGTTCAAAAGTTTTGCTTCATAACCGCGAACCATTATGCAGGTACAGGAGGTCTGGTCGCCAGATACCGGCTTCTGAGAAGAAAGTAGAATATGAAATGGAGGCGAAGTGTCGAGGATACAAGAGTATCATTGGAAAACGTCTGTGGTCTGGAGGTTTCGTATGATCGGTTAGGTTGGGGCCTTAGTTCCCCACCAGGAGATTAAGCAAATAAACACACAAACTGATAAGCAAACATAAATAAACAAATAAATGAATGAATAAATTGCTCAGCTGTAACACCCTTTCGGTGCCTAGCTGCTACGCCATCCGAAGGACGGCGTAGCAAGAGCTAAGATACTGTCAGATTGCCCAGGCCTAGACAGGAACAGTCAGGATGCAGAGGCTGGGTTCAAACCACGGACCTTTCGGTCGGTAAGTTTGCTAAGCAAATGGATTGAGTTGAAACAGTGTGGTTTCTAGAAACTGTTAACACAAAAACCACCACCTTTGGACAAGTACAGATTAGAATTATAAAGGATGGGACACATATGGTCGGGGTCGAAATGATATAAACGAGGAAACGGGAAGCTATCTGACTGTATGAATAGGAGCGCCGCAATACTCACCATATTGTTTCTGTTAACAGAACAACAATCTCATCGGTAGCTTCAGGATCCACCAATTCGTAAACCATGAGACATTCGTACAGTTTGGTTGCAGTGGATTTGCGGATCTAGGAAAGAGCAGGGTGGGTGGGAAGCCACTTAAAGTCAGTCCTATATGGAATCTAGCACATGCTTCAAAAGCGTCAACAGAAAAGTGAACACTGTGGGGTAAGTACATCGGAGTAAAACGCATATCGTAATTCGGAAAGAGCTATTGAGTACAGTGCGTTTGACTATTGAGTATTGCTTCAAAGTATTGGAGTACACAAGAAGTTAGATAACAGAAAGAGGAGCGATCATTGCGTTAAGATAACAGAAATGAGCAGAATGAATCGGTTGGGAGGAGGAATATGAGTACCGATAATTTGGCTGTTGTATCCCACCAAATTACTTCTAGTTAGATTTGATTGTTTGTTTCATGCTCAAATGGGACTAATAAGACTGTTACTTTTATTGAGGATGCTTGGCGCGGATGACTTGGTGGGTGACAGGTTGCGTAAATGGGGAGGGGTTTCGAAATTTCAAACATGGTGGAAATCTTGGACTCACCACTGGATAACGATGACCAAGGAGAACAAGCAGGAGTTTGGAGGCACGTGTGCGTATCGTCCCTTCAAACTGCAGCATTCCTCCTAGCCTGAGAACAACGGAAAAGCAGTAGGGGGAGTATAAATAGGTATGCTGCTCAGAGCTTGTAGGCGAAGGCGTTTAATCCCAAGTTAATCAGAGTAATTCGGGTAAAGATAGCAGCACATGGTTGAATGATCTGGACACGCACGTCACACTGGAGGCGTCAGTACTACATAGATAACGGATTCAAGTTTTGTGCAGCCATGTATCATGCAATCTTCGACCAATAGTGTACCACGGAGAGGATAAAATCATGCGCTTTTGGTTATGTGGAGTAAACTCATCAATGATCCATCGGTTTTCATCAAGGCTGTAGAACTTGAGGAGTGCGTAAACGTCGGGTCCAGGTTCTTGAAATTCACCAACCAGTGTCGTCCAATCAGCAAGTGGTGCAGTCGGTCGGTCTTGCCGATGCACAGAGCCTTATTACGTGACCAGGAAGAGGGCGATTCTACCGCACCCAGCGCCAAAAAATAGGCTCGGTGCTGTGAGAGAAGTTGCCATGGTTTCACATCACTCTGAATTTTCCTCCAAAATCAAGGAGTTCCATTGCAGCATTTTGGGCTTACTGACGTTCGAGTGAAGTGTGCTCGCAATCGGCTCAGTGGGACTCAAGCTTGCAATATCTGCTCGATAACACAGGTCTAACGGACACAAATTCGGACTTAGTCCCGTACTTCTCGTGGATGAAAAATAAGCAGGACCCAGACAGACAACGAAACACGATCTGCTCGATCGATTTTTCGTAGAAACTAAATCGTATGAATAGTAAAGACATCAGGCTAGGAAAAGTGGATATCTCATTCACTTACACATCAATCGCTGCTTTGATTCGAAGCACCTCCTTGGAAGACTTAGTTTCTTCCCAAATAAGATCGATCAACCGAACAAGAATTGGGCTGAGGCGAATTGGGGATGGAACAGAGACAGAGAGATTTATCTATTCGGTTTCAAAAGGAAGCGGTTACCGATCCGAATAAGATTTTCAACCGGTAAATCCTCAAAGTGGAAAATGTGCAAGATGGCACTACCACGCAAAACTTTTTCGTGGTATTATCAACCGAAAGTAAACCTGATGTGCACGCAAAATAAGTCCTGAACTCCACACCGTTACCAAAATACAGATATTCAAACAGGACAGTCATTACACATTAGGGCAAGGTGTTTTTTCAAAAGCCTGATACACAAGGCAGATTTTTTTGAAGTGTACTCACTTGCAAATGAAGCTGCTGAATATTCATGATATACTCCAACTGGATATGCTGAGTGAAAGTGCCTCATTTTTCATCTGGTACAATATTCGAGATGTTGCAATATATTTTCCTGACAGAACACACTACTCATAAGGCTGCCAAAGAGTTTTCAGCAACCCTATGAATAGTTTGTTCCGTCAAAGAAAAAAACCTGCTTTCACTTTTTCTATCTCAATCTATCTGCACTGAGAAGCGCATTTTCCCACAAGGGGAAATATCCACTAATCGCGCTCTACACTCAAAGGACAGCCCTAATCTTGGTGTTTGGTCGCAAGCCGATTAAAAGATGAAGTAATCACTTCGGGCGTTTTTGGCCTATTTCACGGTAGAAGTAGAACCTTCGGGCTTTGTTAGATCCATACTACTTCACAAAAGAGAGAGCGGAAAAATCTAATGTGCGCAAGAAAATGTAATTGAAAGGGGACGATATCGGACTACGACTCCTTTGAGTAACCAAAGAGAAAGCTTTTGGAATGATGGGCTAAAAACACACCCTTCTGACGAAGAGAGTGGATGGACGTAATTGGCGGACAGTGACTATCAGTACTGGCGCGATTAAAGTGTACCATCCTGACGTTCAACTATGTATGAATGATGTAAATTGCAGGCTGACATAGTAGTACAGTACCGGGATCATTTAGATCGTTTGTGGTTTTCAATATGTAAGACACCTTCTTGGTTCCGGTCTTTCTTTACAGTCTCAAACCACTAAGTAAAGCATTCTTCTTGGAACAGTGATGAAATTGTAACGGATTTTCTAACCTAGGACTCACCTTTCGCTGTCAGTTATGGAGGATATCACCGGGTCATTGAGAAGAAAATCAATAAACTTGAAGTAGGGCACTATGATTCTGAAAGGATGGGGTTGAGATGACTGCAAGTGTACAACGTACCGTTCCTCATGGCAGAACGTCTCAAAAACTTGCAAAACTACGCACAGAAACTCTTCTACAAATACTTTGTCGGACTCATGAAGCAACAAGTGGGATGTGAGTGCCTCTGAACTGCATAAGACCTGAAAGATGAAGATGTACAGGTTCACTAGTTGAATTCTCGTGGTTTGTTAACTCAGAAAGTGCATGATAAAACATCCAATTTGTACTACCACCAAAAATCCACATGAACTCTCAGCTGCTAGTATGCGGAAAAGGGTGGGCTGGACGTTTGTGCGGTGCTCTGAACGGATTTTCAGCTATGTGCTCCATCTGATCTATTCAAGGAATGTTTGACGCGCAACGTTATCGCTAGAACCATGCATTTTTAAGTCACTAGAGCACGAGCCCCATATACTTCGGACCGGTCGTTCGTTTGGTTCAGCTGACCAACCCCACTTTTCTATTCAACGTTATATGCTAACAAGAAAGTGAAAATCGTACAACAAAATGTAGACATTGCACAGAACAGTGTGAATTCCATATCCCTTGATTAGCCGATCACGTGTACGGAAATTGCTCCGCTGGGAGCTAAGTAAACATCTGACATTGCGTGTGCAGCAGTTCACATGCCCTCCAGGCTGACTCCCATTGAAACTAGTTTCCAAGAAACCAACTATTCATCCTTTCTTACCATTTCAGATACACAGAGATTGCAGGTATAGATTACTTTGCTTTTTTGAAGAAGCAGTAAAGTGGTCAAAGACGGAACAAACACTTCAACGATAAAACAAGCGGAACGTGATAAATGATACACACCAGACATTTGTGAGTACAGTATCGAACATTCAATGGTACAAGTCACTTTAAAAAACGTATACATAATACATGAATTCTGTGGACTAGTGGGTAACCTAGAAGTAAGCGCGAGGGAGTGGATAGGTTCAGTTCCAAGACATGGGTTCGATTTCACATGGAGAGGCTGTCGGTCTCATCCCCGCATATATTGGGCCAGAGATAAAGGAGGAAAAACCATATTATTTTGCAAACAAAGGATGCGGGAACCGGCGAGTAGTACTGAGATACATCAGCTTGAGTCTAGTTAGCTGTTAACTAAATCGGGGATTACGTGGCTACCGACAAACAGTCAAAGGTTTCGTCCGATTAGCTATCTATCCAGACAGAGGCCTGGAAAGTTCCAGTCCGTGGAAATTTACCAGATGTTTAAAGTAGGCGTGTGGTCCGATGTCAAAAGCCTAGGTTACACGAACGCTTTTGTCTTTATTGAGATTCACCAGGTCGGTGTATGGGAATCAGTCACGTGACCCTTTGATTAACAAAGTCAGGTTGGTTGGTGCACATGCGGCTCATAGGTTACAGGCTGTTAATCAAAAAGTGTCTGACCCCTCTAGATCTACCTGATGAGTCCCGAGGAAAAAGAACGCATTCGTGTAGCTCCGGATTTCGGCATCCGAGCACAACTTTAGCCACTTCATCCGGGTACTAAGGAAACTTGGCCAAGCGGCCGTGTTTCCGTACGACAGTGGCTTAACTAAAGTGCAGTTGGACTTGTGAAGATCCAGCCAATAATCCAAAAGCTGAAGGATAAATGAGTAATAGGTACAGAGAAGTCTAGCGGGTAACCTAGTCACCGGTTGAAAATAAGTAAGGAAACTGAGGTCATTCAGGGAGTGGCTGTATACTGAAGCGCGGAAAACCTGTTTATGCTAACGATAACAATCGAGAAACGTTCCACGCAAAAGACCCGTGGCACCGCCTTATTACTTGTGTGGAGCGGAAGTCCACAGTCAAGCCGTATAACTGGACCCTATGAGACATGTCGAATAAAAAGCCAAATTCGCACGTTTACCTGATGAAATCGGATCAGCTACAGTGCAAACTCGATCGTGGATTCAACCACTGACCGTGGATCCACTTTTCTATGACGCAGCCAGAAGTCACTTTAATTTCTATCATATTTTCGGTGCGAACACACTGAATACGGCATGTTTTGTGGTGCAAACAGAGTTTTCTAATGAAGTCACTACCTTGACGGAGTCCTATCAAGCAAGTGGGTGGAGGTGATAGCAACAGGGAGGACATAGAAAGTGACGATAGCCCTCTTGAAGTCTGAAAACGCAGCAGAGAGAAAAGGGGAAGTGCTTACGGTATCTTCCGTCAGCCCACCGACACTGACTGACAAGCCAAGAATCAGTCGAAAACGGAATTCTGGCAAATCCAAAAGGGGCACAAATTTTCGGAATGTCTGCTGTGCCGAACGCCACATTGTACTGTCGCATTCTTCTCTGTATGTGTAGGAATAGATGAATCAAGCAAAAACAGACTGTGAAACACCCAACATTCTCAGCGTGTCATGCAAGCAATAGTTCTTATTAAGTGGCGCAACCGATATAAAACAATGGAGCGCAGTTTGTGGCCATGCGCTTAATAATGCATAATAATGTTTGCAGTAATTACTAAAGGACCAAGACTGGATGAGTTCCTAGAGGGTTATCGGTCTGAATCGAGTGCAATCCGATGAAACCGTATGCGCCTTCGAACAGACAGCTTCTCAAGAGAACAGTTTAGGCGGAAAGTGTCTTCTAATGACAAAGACTCTCTAAAGAAGACTAGCTTTGATCAAACTCGTGGGTTTTTCTCTCTCGATCTCGCCATGTGGGGAATAACTGTGACCATGATTTTTGGACAATTGCCAGAAGAAAGGAGATATATGACCGAAGCACACCAAATCCATCGAAACTGATCCACAAATTGTGCAGCATGTCAACTAAACAACGACGAAGAGTGTACACGATCATGAATCAAAAGATGAAGATAAGCGTTCAGCGGTAATGCCCTTTCTGCGGCTAGGTGCCACGTCACCCGAAGGAAACAAGATGACTGGGATACTGATAGATTGTCCAAACCTAGGCAGAAGTCGAGATGCAGAGGTCGGTCCTCGGTCCTTCCGGCGGCCATAAGTCGATGGTGGTGGTTTGTGCCAACTTTATGGGAACTGCGTGGGAAGTGCTAAACTGAACATACAAATATCTGATATTTTGCCATGAGAGTGAACATGAGTTAGGAATAGCTTACCTTGGAAACAGTTTCTTCAATTGATCCGGATGTGGAATGTGCGGAATCGGTGGGCTAAAAGTCAGCGAAGCAGCAAGTGAGCGAACCAGTTCTATTCAAAGGGGGGATCTTCACTAAGTGTATTTAGTTGGTTGATTACAACAAGTTTATCGTTGGTGCGGCTTGAAAAAGCCGCGCCTAGAAAACGTTGGTGTGAAAAGGCATGGAAGGAATTTTCGCCAATTCCTACCCTGATACCGCTTGGTAAAGTGAACGAACACACAGAGAAACACAAAAACACAAAGCTTAAGCTCTTGGACCCTGTGGGTTTACACGACCAGCGGTGATGCATGCCCGACTGCCTCAAGATGAGTCTTCATCTAAATGACAACTGCGCAGTTTTACGAACTGTCGATTGACAGCCCAGTGCGAATATGGGGGCACACAATGCGAAAAGACACGTTAGCTAGGGCCTACTTCTCTACGGAAACGTTGTGTGTGTTCATGCATTAGCAAGACTGAGGGACCACCGTCCTCATCCGGGCATTACGCGGTCATTCTGAAAGAGGCCTCGCCAAAGTATTGTCATTGTTTTCGAACCAAGAGAATGTACCAGTTCCGCTAAATGACTCAACACCAATGAGAACTTCAATCCACATACTCGTAACTAGTCAGTCTTATGAAGATACATGGAAGCCTGCCCTTTGTTGGCTGTATAACCTACTGAGTGTGGAAATCCATTGAACACATTTGAATCAAGTATAGCTATGGTAGCGAGATTAAATACCGATTCTGCGCCCGATTGCAACTGCAGACGTTGGTATACCCTTCATTTATGCCTCCAACACAATCGGGGCTTAACACTACGGTGAATACACAGATGAAAGTAGGAAAGCCGAGGAAAGAGGAAAACGAGCGTTATTCAATTGACAAACTGTCCACTTGCATCCGAAACTTATGTACAGCGCACTTAGTCCGAGGTGTCTGGGGAGTTCGATACTAACAGACAGTGAGAATTCCCGACGGCACGTTTAACAGAAGTATATACGATCGAATGCACGACTATGAGACCGGGTGCATTCTTCAAGTTCACCTGACTGAAACATGTGGAAAAAGGGTTATATGCCACCCAGAGTTCACGGGTTAAAGAGGGCGGTTGCTAATAAGAAAGACTGGCTTACTCGTGATGCAGTATCGCTGCAAACGCTTGGCCAGCGACAGCACGGGTACGATCAATCTTCTCCACAGCCTGTTGCACAATACCGCATAGCGCTTCTTGAACTCTGACAGGATAGCGATACACAGGGAAAGACAGGAACAGGTAACTAACACCGTTTCTCCACGGTCTAGGAAAAATAACTGGACCTAAGGCCTCACAACGGAAGAGCAGATAACATTGCAATTGAAGTTTACTTCTCAAATAGAACAGTTTCCATGAACCGCGGAAAATCAAATGAACAAAACTGAAGGGCTTCGGGATATTGGGAACAGATACAAATATCCAACAGACTTACAGATTAGGCTGGATTACTTCAGTTGCTCCGCTGGTCACCAGAAACCCAAGGTATTGTTCCAGGCATTTCATACCGACTTCGCGAACCCTTTAAGGGGAAAAATAAACGAACATAGTAAGGCAGATGCACACATTTGACAGTGATCAGTTGGGGTGGTAGGGCAACCGCAAGCGCACCACTGCTTTAAATCCCTATCAACTCGGTTGGTTAGAATAGAAGGCAGAAAATTGCACCAGTTGATGGAATTGAGGTCGGCTAGTAAAGTCCACTTCAGAAGGACAGAAAATATCATATTAAAGACATATGAACCAATCAGACTGAAGTTTAGGGCCATTTGTTTTACGCACAAGCCAGAGTTGTTGACCGGCATAATGTTTCGAAAGGTCGTTGCCCGCTGACCACCGCTCGTTCGCTCAGTGTAATCGCCGCTTCACGGGCAGAATTCGGTGTAGAAGTCGACTCCTCGAAGACTGGAAACCACCCCGGTCACCGAAAGACCGAATTCCAGCTCACTTGAAAGCGAACAACACTTTGAAAAAAGAAAAAAACTGTCAAAATACTGCGACTTCCCAGGTATAATCAAAGTCTGCTCGGGTAGCGCAATCTCAGCGATTAGGAGGAGTTTAATTATGATGGTTGGGATACTATACGACGGGGGATGAAATTTACCACTCGGTAGTGAACTCCCAACGGTATTTTTGTGTGGATCTCAGATACCAGCCATGGACTACCATAACTGATGAACGTTTCATTGAGATTGTTTCGACCGGATGGGATCTTCGAATTCGGACACTTGAATAAAATGATAAAAACCACTATCCAGAAGGCGTTAATTCGAGCTCCATTTCGGGGAGCATTTTCAAACCTCATAGAGAAAGATCATCTCTGGTTTCCGGTAAAGCTAGTCACACTGGCTTCAAAGTTCTCCATACCTTTATCATCCTTTAGTAACTGAAATTGAACTTTACCAATGACCTTGAGTGGATTTTGGTCGCTAAACACTAGAACAACCACAGCTGTTTACAGAAAACACTGGTCCCATGACATGCATCCCCCCGTAAACACTGCACCAGATGCAAACGATAGAGAACAAGATAAAAATTAGTATTGTCGCCTAGCAACGTACAACATAAGAAGGCTGCAATTATCCGCAGACAATGGATGGATTGCCATGACAACCTCCATTTGGGTTATTTATCACATGTAGGACAATAGAGCCGGATTATCCAGATGTCAAAATGTATCCGACATATTCAGATGGATTTTAATTGTTCCTGTTGTTTACGAACGGAGGGGAGGAGCACGCAGTTCTGAAGCTCAGGGCACAATGAGAATGCGGCAGTCAGTAAGAAAGTCTAGAGGAATGAATAGGTTGCTCTTTCGAAGCCGCATACCCACATTTTGCTCCTCGGTAGCCAAAAGGCCGGCAGTTCAAAAACACACTCAAATAAATACGAGTAAACCGAATGGTTGTAGTTAAATGCGAGGAAAGTGCTTGTCCTTCCATGGAATAGTTTAATCTCAAAGGGGGCTCATCAAAATTAACTCCAGACAATCCACACTGTTTCTTCTGGGTAAACTGGAAGTCCTGGCAAACTAGAAAAATCGCTCATCTGCAGCACCCTTCCGGTGCCTAGCTGCATGCGACCCGAAGGCTGCAATTATCCGCAGACAATGGATGGATTGCCATGACAACCTCCATTTGGGTTATTTATCACATGTAGGACAATAGAGCCGGATTATCCAGATGTCAAAATGTATCCGACATATTCAGATGGATTTTAATTGTTCCTGTTGTTTACGAACGGAGGGGAGGAGCACGCAGTTCTGAAGCTCAGGGCACAATGAGAATGCGGCAGTCAGTAAGAAAGTCTAGAGGAATGAATAGGTTGCTCTTTCGAAGCCGCATACCCACATTTTGCTCCTCGGTAGCCAAAAGGCCGGCAGTTCAAAAACACACTCAAATAAATACGAGTAAACCGAATGGTTGTAGTTAAATGCGAGGAAAGTGCTTGTCCTTCCATGGAATAGTTTAATCTCAAAGGGGGCTCATCAAAATTAACTCCAGACAATCCACACTGTTTCTTCTGGGTAAACTGGAAGTCCTGGCAAACTAGAAAAATCGCTCATCTGCAGCACCCTTCCGGTGCCTAGCTGCCATGCGACCCGAAGGGAGCACGAGGGCTTGGATACTGCCAGGTTGCCCAAGCCTAAACAGGGATGCAGAGATCGGTCAGTGAATTCGCGCTTTAACCACCGAGCCATCTCGCCTCTGATGAAGTAGACGGATCCAGATCAAAGCCTGAGTATGTATACACCTACCGATCAGCAATACAGCGCAGCCTTTTCAGAACACACACAATGGCCCATTCATATTGCGAAGGGAGATATGGTGTGCACTGATAAGGCGATGCGCTTCTGAAAAGAGCCAAGGAGACGGTCTGGAGATATACCATTCTAACGGGTGACGAAGAAGGAGCCTAAGGGACTTGAGGGAGGCAGCCTATCAAGAGGGAGACAACTGTATTCCAGCTGTATCGTATACGGTAGATTGTTTTTGAGAGAAAAAAAATAAAACAGGAATCGGTTTTACCTTAACTTAACTCAGAAGCACTGACAAGTGTGTGCATACGGATGACTACATCTAACCAGCATAGGTTTCAGATTTTGTAAGTCATGAGTAGACCAAAAATCGATCATATTTCCGCAAGTCAACGATCAGGAGGCTCTGTTCAAGATTACGTTATCCTACTTGGAATCGAATAGAGAAAAGTTGCGGGAAAATATCACCGCACAGAAGAAAAGCCAACTGAAAGCAACATCTTGATGTGGGCGAGCTGAAGGAAATGGTCAAGCTACAGTCTTTTCAACACAAATCGACACTGGGAATGGGTGGACACGCGTACAACCTAGAAGAACATTGGTCTTGTAACGGGCGGCAATCAGCGTTCCGGACTACATCAAGCGTTTAGTGACTTCGTGGGTATCAGACGAACGCTTCCATTCAACCATGAGTCAGCTCGAAATCAGTGCACTATGCGTGAACTTGCATGTGAATTGGGGCAATGGTACTTGCGTACGGATGTACATTGGGTATTAACATCTCATAAGAACATGTGGTGGCAGCAACGTACAAACAGTGCAGAAATATGACACCACGTGCTACGCGACGGGATGATATCGGAAGCATATCCTACAACACCCCAAAAGCAGCCCTACTTTCTCTACCATATTATGACGGTCGAACTTCAAGCTCCACTTGGCTCGTATATAAGGCAAGACGACTCCAGGGTTGTTGACGAGCCTCCGGCGATCCATGTGTCGTCCAAAATCTCTTTCGACCAGCTAAGGTCTGTGCTCCTCGTCTCCGGGTTTCGGATCTTCAAACCTACCTCATCCATCCAATATAGCCTTCATACATGCTACACTACTAACCCGTCTGCTGCAAGGTCGAGGCACTCGATTCATGTCATTTGGTTCATTTCGCGAGGTCACATTCGCACGAAACGGTTCTATTCTATTCACTATACTGGATATCCAGCCAGACTAATAATCTTTCTTGAGTACCTTGTGAGCTTACACAATGCGCACCTTCGAAACATCGACCGTTCACGAACACACATCCAGCTCCAAAGATGTTCAGACTGAAATCAGACTTTTTATTTGCATAGTCCGATTGGGAACGACAATAAGGAGAAAACAGGGCCGTTGTACGGAGAGAGACGAATGCGGCGGAATCGTTGTTCTGAGGCTAACGTTCGAGGATGACATGCACAGGATATATTTTTACCCCAGCGGCAAGCTACTGTGACTAAATAAAGTAGTATCGAAACGAAAGACATTTCCGAGGCTATATCTGTCAGCGCCTCCGGAGGTGATGGATTCCCTTCCGAAGATTGTAGGTACCCTTCACGCAACATCAGTAAACGACTTTTTAAAACTGTCGAAATTGTGGTAACTTTAAAAACGTCCCTTTTTCATGCCATTATGCCACCGTATCTCAATTCCACCAATACTTATGAGTGTTGCATCCAAGAGAACGTATTGATTACTCCATGAGCTAGATAGCTTTCATGCACGCTATCTCATGGGTTTTACTCCCCTATCTCGTTTCGAAAATCACACTCGTAGGAATTTTTGCTCAACCTCAAACTGCTGAATTCAAACAACGCCGAAATAATGTGCCGAAATATTGGTGGAAGGAAGAAGGCCTTCGCTGCGAAGTTATTTATTAGAAAACGGCAACTGAACATCTACAGGCTATTGGACAGAGAAGCAAAACTCTCATATGCATCTTGTTTACAAAAACCGAATACCCATCTTCTCCTTGAAAGCGTATTCCTGAACTTTCCTGGATATTCACTGAAGGGTGCTCAAATCCAAGAAAATGCTACAAAGCGACTCCACAAATTCCGTAATAGATCTCACTTTCCAAGAGACGCAAAGCGGATCTACGAGAAAACCTAATACTCGCATGCTCCCCAGTCAGTAGTATCACCGTTACATGGCTCGGTTGTTCATGTGGCTGTTCTCTGAGCTTGCCAACTGACTTGCAAACGTTTTGTCACCACCCAACTGCGCACTGATGATGTCTCCTCGTATGGGGACGAAACGTTTTTAAGTCGATTGCCAAGTCAGCGAACAGATCAACAGCCACCTGACCAACAAACAATAGACGCCAAAATCACTGATAACAAACTACGAAATCTTATTTTTAAAAATGCCCTTGAAATAACTCACAGAAAACTGTCATCCTAGTGTCTGCATCCGTCAAAGAATTCGGTTTTCCAAGGTAACGTTTTCAGTAGCACAGTTAGGAACGCAAGTTTTATTCACCTCCCCAGGAGCAGATCTTGTGTAGATTTTAACCATACAATGGGGCTTCGAAAATCCACCTGGGTTTACGTGTATTCTACCTCCAGTATCATTTGAAAAGATGAGCATGTTACGATAAGCCTGTATCACACGACGAATAGAACCAAAAAGTGTTGGGGATGAGAAAGAAAAGCTCAGTGGTGATCACAGCTCATAAATCAGCAAATAGTGGCGAGGGATGTTCTGTTTGGAACTTGAGGCCATCATTCAACTCGGTCAACAAATAACTCGGAAGCTAAGTAGACGTTGGTTTGTGGTTTATAACCTTCGCCACTCAAAGCTGCAATGTGGCCTGTGAAAAACGTGGGTCGATTAAAGTCTTTCTTGGGGAGTAGACTCTCCCACAGAAACTCTAGGAAGGTGAAGGTTGTCTCTCACTCTAGAGACAGGATCGTCATCATCATCGGTTGGTGATTCTCGATTCGGATGGAGATATTGTGCTTGGATAGACTATTGTAACTGATACAATTATTCAGGTAGATAAATTTCCCAATATATCGATCATCATCAACAGAGACAGCAATATCAGAATATTTTGATCGAGTTTAGGCTTGGCCCTAACCAGTCTTGCAACAGCACTCTACAATTTGCATACCAAATCGTGAGACAGAATTGTGCGGACCATCTGATGTTGCTGTAATGTCTTTTTAAGATGTATGACCATGCTCAAGACTTATATACGTGTTTCAGAAACACAACACACATCAATTTCAAAAAAATGAGATCTGAACAGGTTTGACGCGGAGCACGGACTTTGAAAGCTCCTAGATGGAAAGGACCTCGTGGATGTGGCAAAGTGCGGAGTGCATACGGCACATCCACCCAAGGATCCAGCAACGTTTGCTTGCATGGTGAGGGGTTTGGAAAAGGACATTGTTGGACAAAGAACCGCGTGGGCAAACGATACTTTCCGGCTGTCCTAGCCTAGGAAGATTCTTTTTGCCGACGGACACACGGAGAGTGAAATGTGAAAGAGCTGATTCCGTTCTAGGCATTTTAGAATGCATGAGTAGTTTGCTATGCATGTTTCAGAGACAAGCGGCACATCAATTTTAAGACAGTATAAGGTTTGTGCCGGCATTGGCTGTTTGCCCATTTGACATAGAGCAAGAACGTTGAAAGCACTTCGTTTATTCATTATTTATTTTGTTTATTGGGTGTTTTGTTCAGACCAAACGCAAAGGTGATCGCGGTCGAAGGTTGGGTGATCGGAGTGTGCGGTCTTTAGGGTTGACCATTTTCAAACCATTCTCCCTCGAGGGAAGGCAACAACACCGCTAATCGCCCGGTGAAATCATCTTACTGCCTTTACATTCCCATCGCGGATAAAAGTAGGACTTTATCCCCAGACTGCCTCATAATACGATTGCTCGCAGTAGAGCAGTTCGCTGCTCTCTGTTTGCATACTACCTTGTGGTTTTTTGGTATGGTCGCAACTTTTGGAACGAAAACTCAGCCAGTGTAGCCTACTGAATCACTTTAAAATTCGCACCCAACCACCACATCAAAATAGCAGTTGTAGACTTCACTAGAAGCGGTCTTTCGTCGGACGGCCGCTCACTGAAAAGACTACTGCAGCTATCCGTCTTCAAAAGCTTAAGGAATCAAAGAAGCTTTTTTTCGAGATAGACTGTATCCTTGCGCTGCATTTTGTAAACATCTAACTCGTATTCCAGCAGATTGCATCCATGAACTTCGAATGCAACTCCCATAAAGGGAGCTCTTGAACGCAACTCTGTTCAGCTTCCGAAAGAAACAAGTTACCAATGCACAATCACGAAGCTATGCTGACTAGTGTCACGAAACAGGAAGCGAGATAAAAAAAAGACAACGTTACACTGGAACACTTTGGATACAAAAGAACCAGAACCAATACATGAAATTGCTTACAGAGAGCCAATATCCCCTCGAGAGTCTACCGTGTAGTCGGATAAGGCCCGGAGCAATACGTTGCCGATCGACTGAAGGACCACTGTGTTCAATTCAGGATGCTGTGATCCAAGCTCCATACAAATGCTGTAATGAGAGAGGACGCAAGGTTAGGGATTTGATCAACGTATTTTCGCTAACGATGTCATGGACAAGGCCATATACGACGTCAAATCCCCCGCCGTAAAAATCAATGATCGGAAGATGATGGAGTGACAAAACAAAATTTGTTTGAAGAAAATGTTTACTTTTTTTAAAACAAAGATACATCCGTGTTTTGAATCGTTTGACCGTTTTTGAACATTTTATGTAACTGAGGTGCTTTGTACGGTACGCTCTGACGGATGTGTGTCTGATGAAGTCAGTGCAAGAATCTCAAAGGCTCGAATCACGTTTGCTAATTTACGTCACTTGTGGTGTCAAAAGGGCACTTCACTAGATTTTAAGGGTCGTGTGTACCAGGCTACAGTAAGGGATGTGTTATTGTATGGGTGCGAGACATGGCCTCTGCGGACAGATGGTGTGAGGCGTCTTCAGATTTTCGACCACCGATGCCTCAGAAGCGTTGCTGGTGTCGGATGGTGTCAGCGTGTTAGTAACGAGGTGATTAGAAAGCAAGTATTTGATTGTGCTGCTGGTACTACAATTTGGGAAAACATCCAGCACCACCGACTACGATGGCTCGGTCATGTGCTACGCATGCCGAAACACTGGCTACCGAGACTAGGGTTGTTCTCCGTGCCTCCTCCAGAATGACGCAAACCGCGGGGTGGACAGCACATTACTTGGCAGAAAGGCATGAAAGAGATAACGAAGAGTTTGGTTGTTTTTGGTGTTGTACGCCTTCCAGGATGGGGTCCCTGTGGCCCCGCCTGTCTTTGGCTGGAGACGTTGCAAGAAATGGCGGCTAATCGATGTCAGTGGCGTTCGTTCTGTCACTTTCTTTCCAGATTGTCTGATTGAGCGGTTGGAGGTGTAGGCACCTCAGAATGTTTGACATAAGCCAGCACTAGGTCTCCTCCCTCACTCACTTTTTTCTCTCTCCACGTGTCCCAAGGACCATCATTCAGAAGTACACATCGAACGAAGAGAAAAAGTCGGAACGGGCCTTCAAGTGGGAAAACCCTTTTAAACCTACTATTAATGTAAATATGACTGCGTCAGCAGCCGGAGTACATTTTGCAACAAATAGACAAAATAACGACTGAAAAATTCGAACATTCCCTAATATTAAGCCATAAGCAGCTTGGAAGGAAGAATAATTCACAGTTCTTCACTATAGATTGGCTTCACTCACAGGATGAACTCTCGACCTAAAAATGGTGAGGCCGGGTCCCACCAGCGCTGGGTGGGTCGATGAAAATGTTTTTCACGCTTTGTGATTTAGACTGACACATTTTAACATGCTATGATATAGCTTCAAATAGAGATGCTAGGCTAAACAGAACAATACATACGTTAAACTTCTTTGAAACGACCATAATCTAGAAAAAATCTCTCAGCTGTAACACCTTCCGGTGCCTACCTGCCATGCCATTCAAAGGTAGCACGAGGGCTGGGATACTGCCAATTTACCCAAGCCTAGACAAGAGAAGAGGTCGGGTTGGAACCACGGACCTTCCGATCATTAAATTCACGCTCTAGCCACTTGAGCCATCTCGCTCATAATCACAAAGTCCACGGTTGATCTCACTGTGGTGACCAGATAAAGTAAACGATTGGGCACTGTTCAAATCCCGGTGGAAACGAGTGACCCACTCTCATATGTGTGGCAATGATCGAACAGCCGATAAGCATTTTCTTAGCAAAAAGCGTGGTAGTTAAGCAGAACAGCGACCTACCTCACTAAGGCTTTCAAACTGTTCTGACGAGCTTCTCCCCAATTACGGGATTTCGGAGTGATTCGTGAAGCAGCGGCAAGAAGCTCTATTGTTCTGGCCACATTGCCGTCAAATAGAGAAGCGGGCGACTGACCCAGCACCTGTAGGTATCCAGCAAGGATGGTCTCGCTATTGGCGTTCAGCTGGTGCACCAAATGAGCATAGATATTGTCTACAAAAAGGATAGCGTCACAGACGAAAACGGGTAAGTGCAACAGAAAATATCGGTGTTTCATTAGCCAGGTTAGCGCAACTACTCTAAACAGTAGCTGGTGGTTAGTAGAAAAACGCAACACATCGTATTAAAACAAGGTCATCAAGTAATCCAGTTACATCGCATCTGAAAGCACAAGTCCTCTAAAGTACATTGTATGGAAATTATCATCCATTTGTGCACAAAGTTTGAGAGTCAAAGATAATACACTTAAGATAGTAATGGTGTTATACAGAAATTAGGCTATTGGGCCACGTGACCACCCACTGAGAAATGGAGTGATGTATGCAGCATGTGCGGTTAGGTTGGTGGGACTGGTTGAAATCAGCCATCTCAGAGGGCCGGATGCAACAAACTGTGTTGCAAACTGGTGCTTGTTGGCGAAACACGTTTTCTTACTTTAGTTGAGGTACAGATGCTACAACAAGTTTATCACCGGAGGTGGAGGGAACAGATAGCAAGGTTTGGGGAGGAGTGGTTCTGGTAAAAAAAGAAAGGCTCTGGGGGGTACGATGTACAGAGGTTCTACTGCGGATGGAAGTATGGTTGAATAAGCCTAATATCTGCCACGTAAGTTAGTGTTACTGCATGATGATGGGGGAAAGCATCGTGAAAACAATCTAAAAACTGGGTCTCTGTCATGAACAATGAAAAATGCACTCAGAGGGCAACAAGAGCCGGGGCGTAGATCACTCCATCGGAAGGGCCAAAAGCAACAGGCTACTACAACACCAAACACTATGTCAGACGGCAAGACTATAGGCAGTAATAGGTGTGAGTAGGCAAACAATGTGTTAAATGAACCATAACTGCTCGAAAAACAAGTTGATAGCTTGGGTCGAACAAATATATCCTGAAGAGGAGTACCAAAATGATCGTAGGGCAGTCACACCCCTCCGGTGCACTGTTGCCATGCCAACCGAAGGAAACACAAGGGCTGGGATACTGCCAAATTGCCTAAGCCTAGACAGGAGCAGTCGAGATGCTGACGTTGGGTTCGAACAACGAACCACGTGACCAGTAAATTCGCACCTCAACCATTCAGTTGTCTCGAGGTCATACGAGTACATCACTCACGAAATGAGTTAACGTACATAGATGACGGGAATAATCGATAACATAGTCAGCGGATCCGCAAGCATGGATCCTTAAACAGACTGTACTGACAAATTTACCAACGGTACCATCCAACACGAGTCACGGCTCACCCCGATAGTCCTTGCGTAGTGTCCCGTCGCTGGCGTATAAATAAGTAGAAAGCAAGGATGGATATGCGCTCGCTGCAGCCGCCTGGAAAAAGAGTGAGAAAATCCTTTTGGTGCCGGTTTGAAATGTGAGCAATCTCAAGAACTGATGTAGGCGCCCAGCGTGCTGCTGTGATACAACAGGACACATCACAATGTGGATGGAAATGCTTACTATGAATGTGTTATGTTCATTCTGCCGTCCAATTTTGATCTAGTTCTGTGGTTGTCTCCACTTATTTGACGCAATACCAACAGGGAACGCACTGTCGTCCAGCTATTTGATAATAAAAGTCGTGTGAAAGGTGGTTCCAGCTGCTAGGAATAGCCAGGCACTGAATGTGGTCGCCTAATCGGTGAAATGACGCTGAATTGCTCCAGTTACCTGAAGAAGCGGGAAACTTGGTGGCAAAACACTGAAAATAATTGTCTTGATGCAGGGTATCATTGAATGACTGCCCGACCGAGACATGCCTGTCAGTGTCTTTAACCATGGATGACTTAGGCCCGGCCTTCTCATTCGAGGAGCTGGCAGGTGTCAACCCGACCGAGTGCAGTGGCTAGGATCGTTCCCACGACTGGAGAAGCGAGTTCTATGAGATAGGTCGTCCTTTGACAGGAAATAAATGACCAAACAAACCAAGGAATGCGGTCATCTTCGTTAAAAAATTGTCGCATATGATGGCGCTGCTAATCTGATGTTCTCCTCTGACTCCGAGCAGACGGAATAAGTAAACTGTGACATTGTGTATCGAGGCTTGGATGCGGAACTCGCGAGTCAGTAAAAGATACTCAATTCAAAGGTGAGAACGTAACTCCATCAAAGAACATTGTAGAAATCACTCAGTGTATAAAAACAAGTGGTTTATAGTGGAGTGGCTTACACGAATTTCGACCTCTTTGTGAGACAGACAATCGTCAAGGAAGACTCGCCAGTCCTCTGAAAGAGAAATTCAATATTCATATAGGAAAGAATGCAATGAAAGAATAGAGGAGGATACTATGCTGTCGACAGATACAGACAATTCAACATACCGTCCAAATTATGGTTTTGTGGCTACAGGATGACGAAGATAGGAAAATCCGAAGGACTCGGTCATGTAGGATGCACTGTTTGCGAAGCAGAATATTGGCGAATATTCGCCAAAAAGTCTGCAACCTTGTGACACACGACGTTCGCTATTTTGAGCAAAACTAGCGAAATGAATGGGTTTCAGTTCGATGGAGGTTAGTTTTCGCTCCGCATTGGTGGTTAGAAACCACATGTGTTTGAACACACCTAAAATGTGGCTGGAACGCGAATCTTCACAGTTCTCAAGCCCGTTTGAGTGCAGCATCCCCAGTCGGACGCACTGTTTGGTTTCGACGTCGATTGACGTTCAAAAGATACTCACTAGCTTACAGCCAGCGGATCAAGACAACCAGTTGAGCCAGTCGGACGAACCGGTTGCCACATTTGAGCGGCAACAAGGTATTACGCGTAGCCCCTTCTGTATAATTTGAATGTGGCCCTAAGTGTGCTTCCGCATGTTGGCGCCAGCCATCCGTATGGGAGCCCATCGTCTTTTAGCGCCCACTGCTTGAAAACCTCTATCCATCTAAAAGAAGTCACCTTGAAGAGGGAATGATGTGATATCTTCCCCAGAGGGCATTGAAGATTAGACTCTTTAGGGGAGTTATTACCTCTCTTCGGAGGGGTCTTCCTCTGGAAATCAGTGTATCATTCTCACGACTTTCGTGACTTTTCTCCGTGCTTTCACGCTTGACAAGCGTGGGCATCAAGCTAAGTCGCCAGAAAAGTCAAATAGTTGCGCATGGGTGAAGGGTGACAATGACTTGCAATGACTGGTTTTACCCTTATTTCTACCCGTATCGTTAAGCACTTGCCCAGAGCTTGTCAGGTTGCTAGTAGTTTACTGGAAAATTGAACAATTTCATAAAGTGATAAGTATGCATGCGTGCAAGTTCCTAAGAAGTTATTCGTTTGATTTTCGTGGAGTGAACCCTTGGAATCAGCTTTAGGAGCTATGAAAGGAGTATATCCGCAAGTGCACTGTGGCTTCGAAAACCGAGTAGGGAAAGGGCTTACCAATGACGGGATCTTCATGAAAAGGGGTATTTGCGAGAGAACACTGTTGAATCAGATGGCAAACTGCCTTTCGTAACAGTTCACCACTTAACCCGCGTAGCTGATTGTGTGAGGAGAGCTGGGCAACAGAGGAAGGCAGAAAGACAAAGGCAGACAGCTAATAGTTTGGATGCAAAATACGTGTGCGATACAGAGCTGATGTTTAGGAGGAGACTGGAAGTCTCACAAGAAATGTTCACAATATAATTGTTCGGCTGCAACCCACTCCGATACCTAGCTGCCATGCTACCCGAAGTAAGCACGAGGGCTGGGATACTGCCAGATTGCCCAAGCCTAGACAGAAAAATTCGAGAGGCAGAGGTCGGGTTCGAACCAAGGACCTTCCGGTCAGTAAATTCGCGCTCTAACCACTTGAGCCATCAGGCCCCACAAAAATTGTAGTGAAGTAAAAACACGGCCACTATTGTCCACAGAAAAGGTGTACTAATAAAACAATTCCTGTCGTTGAATAGGACTTAAGACGCCAAAGGGGGCTTCGCGACAGACGAGGGAACAGTTTCAAGACCACTAATCAGCAAACATTACGTAAGTAAGCGATTTACCGTCAGATGCTTAGGAAACACGTAATGGAAGGGGGAGGAAGGGACTACATTTTGTGCTCCAAGGTGGCCATTCAAGTGAAGGCTCGAGAATAGAAACGAACAAGCACGTTACCAATATCAATGCGCAGTTCATTTTAAAACGGTGTGGTCGTGTGGAAGGTAATTAGTATCTAAGCTTTCCTCAACGATCGTGAAAATAATCTGGTAAGTCGCCAGTTGTCTATTGCTCTGTGTCTTTAAATTAAATGGCAGCAGCAAAGTTGTCCAACTTAATGCTTGAACATAACTTGCTACAAGATTTCAGTTGAAAGTATAAAACGACCACTGATCCAATAAAACGGGTGTATCGTAAATTACCAATGTCTTATGCTCATGACGTTTTTTGAGCCACGGCAAAAAACCGTTTCATGTTTTGGAGGACAGGTTGGGAACTGATGGAGAGAAAAGGTTCTGAAACTCATACGTTAGGGAAAACCCGTAAATTTATGGCCTCCCTTTTATGGTAAAGCCACGAGACACAAACCAGTGGGCCGCTAATAAAAGATAGACTAACAAATTACATAATAGGGCTATTAGGGTTTACCGAGCATCAGAAGCCACAACCGCCTCGCTCAGTTTTTATCTGACAATGGTAGGTTTGGCATCTGCTGTTTGCATTTTTGAGGCATGTGATAAGTGATCTACCGTCTGTTGCAGAAAAAATCTGACGGTACGATGAATGCCGTGAAGGACTTACTGTGGAGACAATCGCCTTGATTCCCAAAAGGATGGGTTCATCCAAGGGAGTCCTAAAGGTACAACAATAATAACAATAATAATAGTGACGTGATAGCCAAACTAGGAAAAAAGCAAATATATGAGTTGAAGACAAGACAAATAGTAAAAAAGAAAGACGGAACTTTCGAGAACCGCTGCCAAGGTTCATGGCAAATACTGGGATATGATACAAACGTTTGCTGAGTAGATCAAAGCTGGGAAAGAAGAACTTAGCCTGGATATGGTGCGCGATTGGGCCACATAGGTGAAGAAAACCTACAATCGTCGCCTCGTTCTTCATGAAAGGAGTTTAAGTTACACGGGGAAGATAGTCAACCAATCAACGTTGAGAGCAATTTTATGAACAACTTCACAAACGACAGTTACTGTCCACAGTCAGGGTACAATTTAAAAAGCATATAACAAAGCGATGCTCAAGCATCTACACACAAAGACAAAATTACTTGACGTTCTCTTTTTGAATGGACCGTAGAATTAATGGTGTGGCAAAACTCGGCTGGATTGCTATTCACACCGTACGATGTAGTTCGTGTGCTCAAGATGGCTCAGTGGTTATGGCGCGAACTTACTAACTGGCAGGTTCGTGGTTCCAACCCGACTTCTGTAACTCGACTGATTCCTGTCTAGGGTTGGGTAACATGGCAGTATCTTGGCCCTCGTGCTTCCTTCGGGTGGCATGGCAGCTAGGCGCCAAAAGCGCCCTACAGCTGAGCCATTACGAATAGCTCGTGGAGGAGCTAACTCGATGTGGGTCCAAAAGGCAGTTTGTATGTTGTGTGTTAACGATTAATGCTGAAGTCAAGCCCGTACCAACCTATACCAGAAAAACATTGGCCTGCGCCATTAGGGTTGGGATAAGCTGCAAGAGAATGAGTTCGGTGGAAGGCCACCGTTTATGTGACTGTGTATTGAAATGAGATGTTCACTGAAAAGGTCACATTAAGTTTGAATCGAACTGGCCTAGTTCGCATGCTGAGAGTAAGCGCCATCGGTCATCCGCATGTCATATAGTATACGCAAATGGATGGACTTTCTTAGAATATACGGTGAATGTCGCTTAAAGTAGCTCGTACACCTCTAACGGTCAACAACAAGACGCGAAGACGCCAACGAAGGGGTCAAACTGGGTGCGCCAGACGAAAGTATACAACGCTATTCACAATCGATTCTCCACTTGCCTCGCCAAAATGAGGGTCCAGCTGAACACACTCGAGTGTTTTTTAGACGAAAGTGCAGTGCATACTTCATCGTCACACCAAAGTTGGAAACATGTGACAGGAAAAGTACACCACTACATGGACAAACAACCACCAGTGATCACCAGTCACCCAGTATGCTAGACACCAATGGGGCATCGTGGATAAAGCATCAGAATGGGTGCTGGCTATAACAGGGGTAGAATGCAGCGATTCAAATAACTGACACAGGACGAATAATAAAATTTACAATTTGGAAACTCGGAGGCATTTCATTTCGTTACGGCGTATCAAGGCTCTTATTGACCAAGTGAACAAAACTACCTCTCCAATGGCAATTTTCGCCTAAAGGACGTAGACACTTTGGAAGACTTTTCTGAACAGCGATGTATCAGAACTGCCTGAAAACGACCCTCCGGTTAGACATTATGCACTGAGAAAAACAGATATTCAAATCCTACCAACGGAATCTCCCTTTCGACGCTTGGCTACATGTTGTATGCAGCTGTGCAGTGTTCTGTGCTACGCTGTAAGCGTTAGAAGAACACCTGTTCTAGGAGGCATTGACACCAGTGTCATCTTCGGGAATGATAGGCAAAAGGGGCTGGGCGCGTATCACAGAGGATAACACATGTTTTTGTGGCTCCGGGGGCGATGCCCGTGAATTTCTAGCCTCATTCAACTTGGTGTGTCGGAGAGTAATAACAGCCACTCGATGTTTACAGAGTGAATGAATATGAAACTAAACTGCCTACTCACCCCTTCGCAGCTGCTATCAGCTCTGCTGTTCCAAAAATATTGCCTTGTTTTGCGTACAACGAACCATCCGTGGACTTGGCGATTAGCTCAGGCAAAACTGCAATTCAAGAATAGATGTGCGCCTGGGATGAGCAATCAAGTGGATGTAACAGGAGAGGTCGTTGGCTCCACTAAAGCTTGTGTGACAGGAGGAACCTAGTCACAGCGGCAAAATTTGGAGAACGATGACCTACAGCGATCAACGAATAAGGTCGTGCTATCTATTTCGTCGAACTTGTATTAACCGTAGAGTGACTCACTTATAGAGCATTTCCACCTGGTGGTTCAGGTGTCGGGCCGGTTATCAGTTGATGGGCATCGGTCACACTAGATTAATCAATGTACTGGACAACATAAGGTGATCAAGGTACTGTTCGGCCTGACCCGGTTCCCCAACGCTAAATTGATATGATCCGGTGAAAGCGAAAGATCGCGATGGATATCTTCATTTAATTCGCTACTTGATTTATTAGTAAGGTGCGCCGCTGCATACGATTTCATGGCGTCTTTATGCAGTCGAAGAAGCAGTGAGCAGCTATCTGCTCTTACAGATCAAATCACGGGTTCGACCACGGCAAATCCAAGTGTCCAATCTATTACGCAAAATAATAGCGTGATAGCTGTTTAGATTCCACGTTAACTTCGTCGTTACTATTAGCATTGTTCCGGCTGTCCCCTATGCGTTGCGTATCGGGATCTCGAGGCATTCCTCTTCCTTAAGAATTACATGAAAACAGCTCTCCCGAATCCTGCTACGGGATACAGTAGATGCTTTCAAGCAAAAAGGGTAGTCAGGAGGAGGATGATCGTTGACGGGGAAGACAAATGAATCTCTTCAACGGGATTTGTTGAGCAAAGGTGGCCTCATGCTACACTTGATATACACTCAAGTATACTGCCCTGACTTAACACATTGGGCAGCCCGCTACCGGTCCCGCTCTTCTTGGGACTCATCGCGTAGGCGCATTCCCCAAGTTCCTATCAACCTTACGTTGTACCTAAACCAGTATCTTCTGCTGAGTTCAAATATGCGGTCGCGTGCGTTGTATGCCGATATTCCTTGTTAACTCACATCAGATCGCCTTACATTTGTATGTCTGAACGGCTACTTATGAGGAGTAGGGTCGCATCTATGAATGCAAGTTTGCTTACCCGAAACAGTTCAAAAGAGCAGATTCGGATATGTAGGAAGCTAACAAGAGACTAGAGAATACAAACTCCTTTGCGAACTCATTTGGTTTTTCAAGGTTGACGGAAACCCGGGGACTGCGCCTACCTGAGAAGCCCCTAAAAGGGCGAAATCGGTCGTGGGCTGTCGACGGATTTTCAGCAACCTTACGGGTAGTGCATTACAGTACTAACAAGGGAATGTTGCACAACGAGTCATCAGGTGCATCCTATCTGGATGCCTATTTCAGTGGGCATCTAATCCAAGGATACCACAATGACCCATGGAGGCTCATAAAAATACGAATTAGTTTCGATTGAAAAGGGTAGTATGAAAAACAAAGCTGCCGAGTGAGTTCACTTTGTACACTCTCCAACCGTAAAACGTGTGAAACATTGTGAGAGACATAGTTCAAACAGTTTTACATCATTCACATGAGATTATAGCAACATGACCAATAAAAAAAACAAGACAGTCTCATAGTAACCACCAGGTTTTTCTGAACGGGAAGGATTCCTCTGAGACTGCCCTGGTTTCACTGACTGATCAAGATGCGTTAGAATGGAATAGGTGATGTAAACCGCTCTGTGTATGTCTCAAATACCGTCTTACATTTCTGGCGGTGGAGGACAGCGTATGAGTGAATTTGTTCCGTGACTTTAATGCCTTGTTCACATTGACCTGGGTCACAATGCTTCAGTATGTCCAAGGCAGCGGTTTCTAAACTATGCACCTCAGGCGTATACTTTGTGGACAAGCGGCGAAGGGAGGACGCAGGCGAACAAAAGATGAGTGCGGATGTTAACCACCAAGGGATTTAAAACCGGCTGTTTTTTTTCAGGATAAGAGCAAAACTGCTATTAAAATAACAGGGATGTTGGATGGGTGAGGTGACAAATCAGGATGGACACAAGAAAGGTAAGGCGTGGGGGGGAATGGGATCAAACTCACTTGTCTGTAACATGTGCTCCTTTTCGAACGGATACAACAAATTCAATGTACGTGCAGCAAGAAATCTTATGTTGCTATCCCAGTGGGCGAGTAACTCCTTCGTCACGTGATCAATCATCGGTCTGGTGTAGTCTCCAAATTGGGCCACAAAAACACTAGGTTTAAAAAAAGAATTCACAAGCCGTCAACACTGTCATTTTGGTACGCCCAGAATAGATTCGCACGTACAAGCACACGGAAAATAGAATAGTTCTGCTAGTTTTTCGACAAGTATATTAAATGTCTACAAAAACGTTAACGATGTTTCCATAATTTTGCAACAATAAACAGCGTGCTTCCATTTTTTCAGTTCATCATTTTCGTAACAGAGTATATATATAACATTAATGAATGGCTGGCACCTGAGACGGATTTGTCAGTCAACAATCACCGGGTCTTAGCATTTCCGGGTTGGCTTATACGATGAGATCCAGTCAGCGGAGTGGCAGTGCAATTGGCCTTCTCGCGTTTGATGTTATCCTTTCTGCTTTTGAAGTCAGAATTTACTTAGTTGAAGGTGAGATAGTATAGACATAAATCACGTGTACCTCTGGATAAGTCTACGTCTGCAAAGTACAGAGTAGGGAAAAAGTATACGGGTTAACAGACCATTAAGCCAACTGGATTACGTCACAGTCAGTCCAAGCCGTGAAAATAGAACAGATGGGCAAGCACGAGTCATTTTACCGGAACGAATTAACCTGAAAGTGACGTGTTCCGCTGGACTTTGTGACTCATTGAGGGAGTGCCCTTTTCCCTCTTTTAAAATTTGTGACTGTGGATTAACTCAACCATACATGTGATCTATGCCCATTTTCATACAGATGTGTGTTGCATAAATGAGCATGAGAAATCATTAAAAATCGAAAAGTACACTGAGCACTGTGCACCGACCGGAGGTCACTGAGTCACATTAGTAACAGTGTGTTTATGAATGCGTATTATAGTTTCCATCTTTTGTACATATCGGCATATGAAATTCTTTTTCCAGTTTTTCGCTCATATAATCCTGGGGTCATTGATGCGGTGAACTGTTCAAAAAACATACCCTTGCCTGAAAACAGAAGAAAGAAACAAGTATCGCGAATCGCATAGACGGACAACAAGGAGGATAACTATCCAAACAACAAAGCGAAATGGCGCGGGGCTGTGCGAATAAGATCATGAAGGGTCGGACGCAACTTCGAGCTTGACGATTGATGGGTTTGAGTTACGGCTGAGTGGTGTAGTGGATGTTCGTTCAGCGATAGCATCCTTTCGGTGTCTAGTTTTCATGCAACCCAGAGGGAGTACGAAACATGGGATACTGCCAGGTTGCCCAAGTCTAGACAGGGGAAGCCGAGAGGCGAATGTCGGGTTCCCTCCAGTCAGTAAATTCGCTCTCTAACCACTTGAGCCATCTCGTCCCCATGAGGACAATGAGGAAGATGAAAGTAGGGAGTAGAGACACGCATCTCACAGCTGATTAAGGGCACTTTATCGATTCAAATGCATCCTAAGAATTCAATCAATACGAACCGACGATAATCATTGTACGTAAATTCTTAAGTCTTTCGAAGTGATTAAAAAATGTTCGTTGAAGTCCTTACGTTACGCGGTGGAAAAAATCTTGTTCGAAACCGAGAGTGCCAAATTATACGAGGATGGAGTTGTGCAAAAAAGTCCATAGATTGAAAAACTCATGGAACAATGGGAACAGACAACAGTCGAAATTCAGTTGTGTATGACCCACAAGCCGTGGAAGAATTCAGCACGGCTACGAATACTAAGCAACTAGCCTCTGTTACTGGGTAAGTTACACAGAACGGCGCTTGAAAGTGGACACGAAATGTTCGGAATTTCGGTAACATCGAGTACATCGAAGATAAATCAGATGATTCCTGGAAAATTTCACGGAATTCTCAGTGGGTGAAGAGGAGCTCAGTAGCCGATTTCGCCAGTGCACTGGTCTGGTGTTGGTACCAGACATACCGAAGTACATTACCTATTTGCACCAGAACAGCTTTGAACTACAACTATATAGAACGATAATCGAAACGGACGCAGCATTAAGGTGAACGCATATTAGTTCTGGTCCTTTGCGTGGTAATCGGATTGGGACAAGTGGAACACAGAAGAAGCAGCTTACTTTAGTAAACCAACAGATAGTATTACTGAGGGACAGCTTAGAAATCCATTTAAGTATATTCATGCAGCTCCCAAAACCATGAAGATGGATCAGCTACCTTGGAAGGAAATGGTAAAAAAAGATGTTATTTCTACCACTTCGTCGTGAGGGGGGCCAAATAAAGAGGCTTATCCTTTTACCTTATGAAGAATGATGATATTACGACTAGGTGTGATTAAGTTACATCTAGGGCGAAAACGCTCCCCTGCATAGAAAAAAATTGGTGCGTTACTTTTTCCATTATCCGAAGGTGCTGTGTTGTTCCTGTCGATTTTGTTGGCCTAAGATTTTGTTTTGCATAGCATACTGTCGACTCAGGTGACTTTAAAGTGGGATCCACCGTGTGCTGAGACCGCCATATAAGTGATTTAATGGTTCCACGATTTTGTAAGAAACATCTATTAATGTCAACAGACAACCTCTGAACATTTCCCTTCCAGGCAACAACGTTTTGTTGCCACCATTTATGTGTGGAATCAAGTTATAAGCACGATGATTGCGAACAATCATCGAATAGTGCCTTCGTGCTTCTCTGTTTTATTTGGAACAAGCGTTATCAGTAACACTGCGCTTTTAGACGTGTTGCCAACTATCGAGAAGCAGTGGGACACAATGAATCTCTTCGGGAGTTAAATTCGCCTATGCTTAGAGCACCCACTCATCTATCGTACAATACGGACATAACGTGGTTGTTGGTTTGTTCACTGAGTTTTCTATTTTTAGTATTTTTTCTTCGAGCCCACTGGTCCGTTGGTTGTCGTCAGGTTGCTTGATTTTCCATTTATCATACACTCTTCATTTCAGAGTGAATTTTTATATCACTCATCTCTGGTGTACTATCAATATGGGATCTAGATCACAAAATCAACGATAGAGTCGACTGAGTTGATATGAAAGTTGACGAACAGGGATTTTGGGGTTAGACCCCTCACTGTCCACCTTTTTATCGTTTTTCGCGACCATTGCTTCTCTAACGGAGCAAGCAAGTCCGTACTTTTAGCCCGCCCGCGATCGTGTTATGGAGTCATGGTCAACACCAGTGTACGGATGGTACTGAAATCACTTCTGTCAACTACCATCACAATCCAATACATCTGTATTGAAGTTGTGTGGGTGCGCACCTGTACAATTTAACTCCTAGAGGTGGGCGAAAAAATGACTCAGTTCAAAAGCGCGTGTTCGGACTGGCGCCTGACAGTAACAGGAAAAGTTCCGGTCCAGGAAGCCGATAGCTCGGTCTTAGTCATAAACATGAAAATTTAGATGCCGAAAGAGATCTATATAAAACTTTTGCCGTTAACGGAGAGACGGTCCTCAGGTAAGGAGAAACCGCAGAAGCACAAAGATACCTACCTGAGTTCCAGGAAACAGTTTGTTCGGTTTCGCAGGGCGAAATAATCGCACGTAGTGATGATATCAATACCATGTGGAAACTGTCCCTGGATGGGTGCAAAAAACAATGAGGACACATTACACCACTGTGGACTTGTACAGCGACTCGGTGGCAGAGATGAGTCCAGGAGGTGGCGAGCAAAAAATGCACATCACCAGCAAGAACTACTATCAACACATCGGCAAGTAGTAAAAATTAAAATAACTACCTGGCGTCCAACATTTTCCTGAAAAGCCGCTGCCGCTGCCCGTCGCACATTTACCTCGCGATCAAACAAACTGACTAAAATCAGTGCACTGGCAACCTGGTTCACGTAAGGGGAAAAGTCTTGGGCACGGTAGGCTCGAGCAAAGGCCCAGCACACGTAGCAGGCAGCATCGCGAACGTTTGATCCGTAGTTGTGGTCACCAGAACGTTCGTCATAGAACAACGCACGTAAAACCACGGGAATAACCTGTAAGGTGGAGATAGGAAAGTTTAGATAACTAAGTTAGGTAAGTTAGTTACGTGATGCTGGGATACTACGACAAGTTGACTTGCCTCAGGTAGCTTGCTAGGTAGCAGTAAGCTACGGCGACCCAGCTCGGCCAGGGCAAGACAAGCACCATGCCAGGCGGTGAACGGCTCGAGACGTGTACACAAGGATAGAAGTGCGGCCAAAACATCGCTAACCATCGGGCTGCCAAGTCGGTTGCACATACGTCCCAGTCTACGTTTGGATGAAGAAACATAAATAATTTATCCAGTGTAACCATGTTTGATGCAGAGCACAAAAATAAAAAAATGGGTTCTTGAGATGTGCACAAAAACATCAACGTAGGTTGCGATACATGCAAACGAGGAGTTCGAATCTCGTTCATCACCGCACCAGTGAAGAATCTGTGCGACCAAATCGTCGCGTGCATACGATTTATTATCGGTACTCACGGATTCGTTGCTTCGTTGTAACGATGGCCAACAGGTCATGCCGATACCCGAATTGCGTGATTACTTTCCAAAGTTCAAAGCATCTTAGTCTGACACGATCACAAACAGTAAAGCTAGCGGGATTCCATCTGTCTCCCACCTCAAGCCATTTATTGTGTAGGAGTAGTCCGTTCCCATTTCAAGAGATAGAAATGAACGGATGTATTTCTAGAAACAGTGGCGACCACAAGCTATGCATTCTGGTCAGTCTGCGCCGAAGAGCTCACAACTACCGTTCGGTAACACGAACGACCTGTGCTTTTAACACCGTCAACATCGATATAACACTGAACATTTCATCCACTGATAGACACTTCGCACAATCGCAAATGTTGACAATATTATCCCTAGTAAATACCGATAGAAAGTTCTAAAGACTCCATGACACTCTTCGGTTACGATGAGTATGAACCTACCGTGGATTCTTGTGAATACGAACTGATAGCCAATAAGCGATTGAATGAAACTTTGAGTGCTGATCAAAAGTTTCGTGCAACTGACGGATGCACGTAGGATTTTCATGTCAGGCAGTCAGTGAGGATGGGAAAAAAGTTGATACCAACAACGCGAAAACCAGCATCTTAAAGTGACGCTCACCATCGGTGACGCAAGGGACGAATTCAGGCGATTAAACCTGTGTAACTGCGCACACTTCCCAAACTACCCGTTCAAAGTGGTTTAGGGGTCGAGCGAAGAGAAGGTGCCTGTAAAATGGGACATGTGTTATCTCATTTATCTCATCTTCAAAAAAGGTACGCGGACGCTGTGTGAAAACCAGTGTGGCGTCAGCCTGTTAGCTGTGGCATCGAAGTTGCTCCTGGCCTTATCCTTCGAAGGTTGACTGGAGAGGCAGATCCGTGAAAACCAAGCTGGGTTCCATCCTGCAAGAGGTTGCATCGATCATATGTTCACCCTCCGGCAGATTCTGGAACGGCGACAGTGCTTCCAGCAGCTAACAATGGTTGTGTTTCTTGATCTGAAAGCTGCCTGTGACTCTGTGAGTCGTTAGGCACTACGGCAGTGTCTGGAGAGCAAAAGTGTCCCTCATCACACTGCATAGACTGCGCCGGCTTGGCCACGTGCTAAGTAGGCCAGTCGACTGAATTCATCGAAGGGCTCTTTTCGCACAACCACGTGAAGGGTGGAAGAGAGCCAGAGGCGGTCAAACAATCACATGGCCGCGAAGAGACATTGTCAGACATGGCCCAGTCGCGCCCCCAATGGCGCTCATGCATCCAAGCTATTAACTTCAATGCATAGCTCCCTTCCAAATCCCCCCACTCAACAGTCCACCTACAGTGCTGTATTTACGCATTAATTTATTAGCTCCCGCCTCCAGTGCGCAGCGACCAATCCCACCCCCCGAATCGTCGGTGAACGAAACTGTGGCAGTTACAACTACTGTACGACAAGTACGCGGTTATCACAGCCGACAATGATGATGATGAGAGGGTTGAGCGATAGGATATTATGTGCCGATGCACTATCTATTGTTCAGTGTGCACATGAAGAGAGCGTGAAGAGGTAGGTATAATGCATGGTCAACGTTGTGGGTTGAATCATAAAGAAGAATATCGAATTACCCTTTCGCAGCAGACCATCGAACAACCGTGTACTGATTGCGAAGCAGGTGGATCAAACGGTCAATAACTTCTGCCACTTCGTCGATATACTCCAACTCCAACTCCTCCTCTTCTTGTTCTGGCTTAGGATCAATTTTTGTGGTCATCGTCGTCGGCTGAGCATTGTCACTCGTCGTTACTTCTACGTTATCTGGAGCCTCCTGGAGTAACTTCGGCGCCAAATTGTCCGCCAGAGAACGGCAACCGCGTTGATACTGCCAGCCGATGGACCGAGGTGGGCAAAAAAGCAAGCCGACACGTTGTATCAGCTTCGCTTCTAAGCGGTGAATAAGATTGCCCTTGTCCACATTTGATGGAAGACTGATTACTGCTTTCAATATTATGTTCGCCACAGGGAGTAACTCCTTACGAAGGCCGATTTTGCAAATATTTGCTAACACCCGTAACATACCACAAGCGACTGCTTGACCATGAACGGTGCTGCCTGAAGGATAGATGAGTAGACAAAGTTGTCAATCGTCCCGATAGAGCACGTGGATTACACAAGTGAGAAATGTGGTCCGGTACCAAAACAGGTTGTCATGGGAAAACGGCTAATCCATCGAATAAGTCGCTCAGGTCAAGATTGGAGAACCTAGTTTTGAGTCTGTATCGTTCAGCTGTAGCACCCTTTCGGTACCTAACTGCCATGCCACCAGGAGGTTGCACTAGGGCTGGGATACTGCCAAGTTGCCCGAGCCCAAACAGAGGAATTCGAGAGATGGAGGTCGGGTTCGAACCACGGACCTTCTGGTCAGTAAATTCGCGCTCTAACCACTTCGGCCATCTCGCCTCTGTCTGTATGAGAGTTCACCACTTGGATATCAACTTTCTTTAAAAGTTCAGTAAAACTACCCAAGAAACAAAGAATGAAAAATACTCCAGTGCCGTCGTTCTATCACCACCATACACAGTAATACACCGGTGGTTAACTACCACAGAGCCATGAAAAAATGCCGTAATAAGAATTAGACGGCAAAAAGATTACGAGCAAGGTACTTACACTATTGGAATGAATATGTCGAAACAAGAAGCCATCGGCTGGACAAGTTTCAAGAAACACTACAATCCCAACGTGGCTAGGAAATAAATGCACCGCCTTCGTGCCATATCGGCTGCATAGAAAACAAAGTTGATGAGATTGACGTATCACGAGCAATGTAGTTAACTCGACAGTTCATCAAGATATACCAGTAAACGTCTTCAGGATTTAGGTCATGTGAGGACAGCGGCTGGGATGTAAGGATTTCCAAAACACGTGGAAACTGATAGAACTTTACATTGTTAGGAGGTTGAACAGACCAACCTTGAAATCAGTAAAGTGAGTTCGGACGGAATAAACCAATTTTCGCCTACGTTTAACGATTGGGTGCACACAAAAAAACTATCATCACCGCTTTACATGGAACAATAAATGTTCCTTCTGACAGAGAGGAAGAGGATAAAGACCGAAAGGAAGAAGTAACAATTGATGATGCGAGCAGATACTCAGCCCTCTGCAACGCCTTGTACTCAAACAAAGTTTCGAATCTGAAGAGCTGATAGAGTTAAACCTAACCTAACTTCCGGGACCTCTATCAGCCAGTTGAAGGGAACGAGAAAGATGAAGACCTATGACACTTTCAGCAAACAAGTGATTGTAGTACCGGACATTGAGTGAGCCATCTAGACAAACGTTATTGTAGCTTATTCACGTCAATTCTATTACAATTGACTCTTACAATAGAGAATATCAGTTATATTTATGACAATGCGTAGCAAACCTAATCGTTTGGTTAGTAGCATATTCCTGCAGAGATTACGAATGAATTGACAACCAATAAGTCAACAAAAGCACTCAGATGTTGGTTAAGTCAACAGATCACAGGGTGCAGTGACCTTTTTCGAAGCATTTCGCGTGCTAGTTTCACAATGGTTAGAACAAAAAGTCATCCACCTGTAGCACCATTTCGGTGCCTAGCTGCAGGGTTGCCCAGGCCTAGGCAGGGAAGTTAATATGCAGATCTTCCACAGATCTCCCACAGATCTTCCGGTCAGTGAATTCGCGCTCTACCTGATATCGCCCAGGGTGGAAAGTTCACTTGTCCTTCCCATTCTCAAACTTAGCTCCTACTCTGATCCTAACTACTGACCTACAATCGTAACCGGTATTTTTTTCACGTTCTTGAAGTAGTTATGACCAGATAATTCTCCTGTGATCTTCAAAACAACGCTCCTTTGGGTGACCACTGCCATAACTTCATGAGCGATAGGTTGGCTTACATGAAACACGTTTTTTCCTTCTCTCTGGACTCTTTCGGCGGATTCCTCCGATACATCGAAGGCGTTCGACTGGGTTTGGTATGAAGATCTTCTCCTTAAGTCTCATGCGTACGGGTTCCATTCAGACTTAGTCATCCGGGTTGGAAGGTTCCTGCACATACGTCCTATGCAAGCACGTTATCTCTCGCACTTGGAAAATCAGCGCCGAAGTACCTTAAGGACCTGTAACCTTTCTCAACGTTCCCCCTCTATTAGAAGAACTTTTTATCAACCATCACACTCGGCTTCTTTCAGCAGTCCACTTAATCCGACTGCGCGACGGATGGATACAGGCCATTTCTGTCCTGAACACCTATGTTGTCAGTACCCTAGACTGGAACTAGGAGAACTCGAAAACTCTGACTCGGCCAACTCTCCCCAAGCATCAACCTCCGTTCGTAATTCCATTCCGACTTGAATCCGTTAGTGAGATCTACTACCGTTGTTCACTCCACATCATTCATCCTTTTCGGTTTACCTTCTACTGACAACTTATCCTGGTCCTCACGCGACGCGAACAACTACAAGGATTGGTGTGCCTTTCGGTCAGGCAAATAATTCACCTTTGCCCAAAATCCCCTCCATAGGTTCAAAATGAACTTCAGACTAGAGTACTGCTGTCATTTTTGAGGTTAGGGTTCCTTTTCTTACTCACCTCTCCTTGATTCCGTTCAAAGTACGTCTCGGCAATACCGCTTTGACGACTGATAACCTACAGGCATTCTCACCGCTTGAATATAACGTCTATTGCTTCACTTTTCCGATACTAACACGGGAGACGTTCATCGAAGCTTTCATCTTCTAGCCCTTTGCCTATATCCTCCGATTCAGAAACACGCTTCTGCTCCTGCATTCACTCATACCAAGTTACCAATAGACGTTGTATAGCTGGTTCCTTTCGTTAGTTTCAAAGGAAATTCCGTCTGTGAAACCCTGCTATTCGATGTCTTCCCCAACCCATAGCATCCAACTATTCAAAAGCCGAAGTCATGTTCATCACCTTGAGGTTTCAGTATACCTGGTGCGTTAAACCAGTAGCGATCAGCTTGTAAATATCCAAATCCAGATATTATCGGTAGTGTGGGGTTTGTAAATGTTCAAACTAATAGCCTGAGGACCTCAGGTTCGAATCTGTCTGGGGTTTTGTGAGATGCAGATTGCTGAGGAATTCCCATAAGGCTGAAACAAATGTGTCGGCTCAGTGGTTAGAGCGCGAATTTACTGATCGGACCCGACCTTTGCCTCTCGACTTCCCCTGTTTACGCTTGGGCAACCTGGCAGTATCTCAGTCTTCGTGTCTCCTTTGGGGGGCATGGCAGTTAGGTATGGAAAGGATGCTACAACTGAGCAATTGATTTGATTGTTATCTTCACCGCTCGGGACAAGCATACATCTAGAGGAGGTCTCCGAAAACTCATTCATTAGAGAGATAGTCTGTTTGATGAGGTTGATAGTCAAAGGCCTGTTTCTACACCATACACGAACCAAAGCAAAATTCAGAATGATTACCACCATCTCCACTAAGTGAATGTAAAGAAATGTCATTTTGTACACGACGTGAAGATTCACGACCTCGACGAAATTCCATGACTATTCCTCATTCATCCGTGCTGGAAAGTCTCCCATCTGACTGCACACCATTCACCACAACCTGATTAAGATATGCAGTCAGTTACCCTCAGCAGCGAACCCCTATCGGCCAGAAAGATATTCAGGCAACCCGTTATGAACCCACACCTTGATTTGGCTGTTGTTGCAACGTTTGTCTCATACTAGCAAGGCCAAACTAGACAGCAGTTAAGCTGAATGTTGACTAGTGTGGAACTTCCTGATTTCCAAGACTTATTTCGAAATGATTTAGAATAGAAGGGAACTTGATTGATCTCAAAAACGAAGTTCAAGTGCACTTGGTATGAACGGAAAGGCGTATCTAGATGAATACAAGCCACTGACCACTACCTACTATACCTGCCCGACAGCTTTCATAACTGGGCGACCAGGGACGTTCACTCCAATCAGTAGGTATGCACTTGAAGTTTTGGATAGAGATCTAATGACCTAGTCTAAGTGACCCGTTGCCAAGCCCACAGAACGGGTAAACAGCTAAACAAACTTTAAGCCCCCTAGGAGCTCGAACAGTAGGTCCACATCTGGAAAATACCCTCACATGCACACGGATTTAGTATTGGCAGGAGACTCAGCTGAATCCGGTTGAGCATCCCGTTTACGATGATTTGCTTGAAATGAATGTTTTAAACCATGCCGCCCCAATTTCCAGTTAGTACTATATTTGTTATTCGCAGTACATTTTAATGAGTGAAACTACTCATAAGGCTGATGAAAACTCTTCGACAGTCCACGATCGGTGAATATTCGGTGAAGGAACACCCCAAACGAAAGAGCACTTCCAAGTCCGTTTGATTAGTGGCTCATTCCAGTTCAGTATTGGAAAATAAACACTGTCTAAATTGCTTTACAAGCACATGCAAGTTGGACACTTCCGAGGGCGAAGAGCTGGTTACGTTGTTCTTCACCGGAGCGATGGGCTTCTGAATTCCGAAGGCGTTTGTTTCGGAAAACTAAATAAACAATGTACTGGTAATAACAAATGCTCGTTCAGCCGTTAGATGCCTAGTTGTCATGCCAACCCGAGAAACCAGGAAGGCTAAACAGGGGCAGTTGAGGCGCCGGGGTCGAGTTCAAACCACGGACGTTTCGGTCAGTAAGTTCGCGACTAACCACCGAGTTATCTCGATCACACTAGCAACGGAAATGAGCTAGTAATGCCAGGAGTAATGTGTGGGTATCATAGGGAGGGCGCGGGGAAGACAATCGGACTCACAGTCGGCAGTATGCATCTGTTCAATACACCAGTTGACGACAGGCTGGAGATGAACCTGAATGACATCTGGTCGGGTTACGAGCCGCGCCAAAAGGAACGAGGCAGCTTCTTGTGTGCGTTCATCACGAGAGAGATATATCTTGGACTGTGTTAACACACGCTCAACAATGGGAACCTCGTTCGGCGAATCCAGACACTCCAAACTGAATGGTATCATCGTAAGGATAGAAAGCCATAATAAAAGCACATAGCGAGTTTTCCAGGTCTAAAGAGAAAAAGGAGTAGCCGGTCGCGGTACTGTGTTCAAAATGAAATACCTCTGGGTCACCAATATCCTGAGAAACCAAAAGGCTGATAGTTGGCTCGATGTCATCAACTGAATGGGGCATAAGGCGTATGACCGATTTGTATCCTCGAGTTTTTACCATAAGGTATAACAGACGGAAAGCAAAGTGGAAAGCCCTTGGTCGATCAGCTGATGATCGAATGATGGAGATGCACTCTGAAATTAGCCTCTCTAGATACGGATCCAGTAGATGAGGCTGTTCCTGATAGAAGTCAAAAATACCTGAAACGAAGAGAATGGTGGAAAAGACACACTTACGCTGGGGTTCTTGTTAGCGAGCTCTNTCAGTCACTGTATGGATTGCGTGAATGTGTGCCATAACTTCGTCAAAATGTTTAAACTCATCGAATACTACACATTTCTCTTCAGGGAAGTCTGTAATTTCTGTTGTACACATGATTGGTGACACGCGACGCGCAACAGAATATTCGAGGAAGTCTCTCACGAATTAGGATAAGCTAAAATGAATTTGTCGCAGATATTTTACATAGAAACGTAGTTCCTTTCCCGAAAAACGCCATCTTCACTAGGACCGCAAAATTGTGATAAACAAGAGGGCTGTCCGCGAGCGTTCCAGACATTGCTACTTGAATAAAAACCTCCAAAGCATGCTCTGAGACTGCATGCCCTGAAATAAGACTTCGAACTTTGAAGGTGCAAGACGCATGCCCAAAGACAGTATGACGGTGGTCAGTTTACTCAGCAGGACGCGTGCTTTGTGTACTCTAGATCGACAAGGTTCTCACTGGCAACAATTTAGACACTGGGGTTTCGAGGACGTTCCAGCATTCGCCTCACCATTTCATCAATGACGAAGTTGGACATGTACGGAGAGGTTGGGTATTCTTGTTGGACACTTTAGTAGGGAAGCTTTTGGAGAGATCAGCATAAACTCACACAAACATTATGTGAATATGGGGATCGGATTATGTCCACAAACTTCGGAGGCATATCCTGTTGAGCAAGTGTGGTTGACAGCACTGATCAAATGACAGTCGAAAGCATCCTTGGAGTCAAGGAACACCAAGAATGTGGGTCGGTTATACATATAGCGTTGCTCTAATACCTGGCGAAGTGTGAACAGGTGGTCGACGCAGACCACGCCCGGTCGAAATCCCGCTGGATGCTCATAGATCAATGATTCGCATACTGCCATAGGACGACAAAGGGTCTAACACCAGAAGCCTTTCCACAGTAAGGCTTGGCGAATGAGCCTGGATAGCCCTCGATAGAAAATATCCTTCTTAGCGTAAGAATTGCAGCCCGTTGGGATATATGCCGACAGGGACCGCTTTTTGTCGAAAAAAAATGAGCTTGACTGAGCTGGATAATCGGGCAGTGCAAAGACGACTGTTTACTGAGATCCAATCCAGCAAAACCCGCTCAGCTCTGGGACTGAGTGCAACTCCCACACCATATATTCCATGAGTCATCGATTCCGGATCACCGGACACACGGTGAGAGAAATGTGGAAGAGATGAGTTCGTCGTTGGCGTTTTGAGATGTATAACCGCGTTTGGGTTTTGTATGCGTGCTTCAGAGACGCAGAATACATCAACTTCAAGGGAGTACAAGGTCTCAGCGAGAATGGCCAGTTTGCCAATGGGACCTATGTTAAAAGTTCCTCCGTAGGAAGGATCTCGTACATTTCGAAAGGTTATTTTGTTTATTGTTAATAGACGGCGGGGTGCATAAGGCCCATCGGTCAGATAACTGACAGTCAAATGGCCCAGCAACGTTTGCCTGTGTAATGGGAAGGGGTTGGGGATGGACATCGGTGGACACAGAACTGTGCGGGCAAATGATACTCGAGGTTGCCCAGGGCTAGGAGGAGGGTTTGGTTGAGGTGCCCCGTCCTGAGCCTTTGACTCAAACGTCTGACCAACAAGGTGGTGGGAGGGTGTAGGGTTTTTATTCTGGGGCACTGTCTCTAGTCTCTGACTTAAAAGTCTGCACCGTGAGGCTACGGTTATTGTGGTTTTCTTGTAGGACCATTCCTGGAGCCAATGACAATAGTCTGACTCAGTTGGCTCAATGGGTCGGCATGGCCCGAGGACGCAGGGAGTACGGCATTACTGTCTCATTCCTAATGCAGCTGTGCGCTGCAGGTGCCCTTTGAGTAGTACCGGAATCTTGGTTTTAAAAGTATTTCGACCGTATTGAATAATGTGCCGGCGGTCACAGTGTATCGTTGGGTGATTGGAGTGTGCGGTTTCCAGGGCCCGGTCTTTTCCAATCCACCCTTCTTCGGAAGAAAGCGACATCGCTGCTTCCATGAATATGGACATGGTGGTCGCCTGGAGGAAACACCTTACTGCCTCCACACTCCTATTTCAGAGAAGAGTACGACTTTACCTCCAAACCGCTTCGAAGCACGATTACTCGTCCTACAGGGTTTCACTGCTCTTGATTTGACTACTTCCTTTTGGCGTGCCTGGTATGGTTGCACCTTGTGGAACGTATTCCCAGCGAGTGTAGCCCGCGGGATCGTCGAAGCACTCAAGCCCGACGACCACGTCAAGGTGGCATCATCATTATCATGGACAGCATGACATCAGTGTTCAACACTGATGCTTCGCCGCGGTAAATGGCACCCCAAGATAGCAGCGCTGGGCCGGGACACGTCAAGATTCGGTAGCTGAAGTGTATCGAAGTGACCTGACTAGACTGGAAGCGCACAGTGATGTAGATGACAAATATTGCTTGTAGGCTGAATGGGAGCGGGTTAAAAAAGCTATGTATCAGGAAGGTCAGATTCCCGGAACCTACTGCTCCACCAAAAGCTCAACTGGAAAGCCGGCAAGCATCCAGGCCAGTCAATCATTCGGTCAATTCAGTAAAACCTGATGAGTGTTCTCTGCGCCACAGAAGCACGACCGAATGTGATCAGCGTTCAGGCTTTTCACAGAGGCACGATCGATGTTGATGGGTGATCACTAACGCCTATCAGACAGCCTGGATCAATGTCAGAAAGTTCCCTTTAAATAGCGTGGGGCCGTTGTAACTTTTGCACTCGCACTCGCACGCACTCACTCGCTTGTTCGGAATATAGCTGTTGTGTTCCCTTCTGTGAGTCTTTTGTCTCCGACACTAGGCACTGGAGCGGGTCAGCAGCAGATACCACGGGCCGACGAAGCAGCAGATATAACACTATGCTCTCAGCTTTCAGAAGTCTTTGTCAAGCCATCTGACTACAATAAATGATCACTCGATATCATCGAGACCAGAAAGGCCCTACGAGCAACTAGCGACTGTGATGGCGCACGCAAACCCCTCAAACAGCGGATAATATGGAGTCTGAAGAAGTACGTAGAATGCTGTTGGATTTCGAAGGCCTAGAAGATGGGGAACGCTTTCCCTGTAGACAACAGTCGCGCCCTCTTTCAGCTGACTCGAAAGAGGGTGGGCGTCAGTGAAACAATATACGAAAAAGACGGAAGAGGAATTCATTCCCTCAAACTTCGTCTTGAGCAATGGGCTGAAAAAAATTCCAAGAACAGTTCAGCTGGTATCCCTCAACACAACCACAGCAGGCTTGAGTGGAACATCGACAACTCACCATCAACAACACAAATCTAGCGTGAGATATCAATCCTTAAGCACCACAAGGTACCTGGCACTGATGGTTTGTGCCCCGCACTTTTAAAAAAGGGTATCGAAGTCCTGATGAGCAGTCTTACGACCACACTGCGGAAAATTTGGAACGAAAAGAATCCCAGCCAAATAGAGCTTATCAACCGTCATCCCAGTCTTCAAAAAAGGACACAAGAACGTCATGCGAAATTCATCGCGGCACCAGTCTGGTATCCGTCGCATCTAAGGTGCTCTCGGACATCATTTTGCGTAGGTTGGTCGATTATACTGAGAGACAACTCCGTGGGAATCAAGCTAGGTTTCGCTTTGGTCGAGGATGCACCGACCATATCTCCAACTTAGGACAAATTCTTGAACAGCGTTAGTCCTTAGTACGTTCCACATTGGTCGTTTTTCCTGATCTGAAAGTCGCCTTTGACTCTGCCGATCTTCAGAAACTTTGGCAGCGTCTGACGATAAGAGGTAGCCCTTCAAAATTTATATCCCCTATGAGGGCAATGTATGCGAACTCCTGTGGGTGCGTACGAGTATGTGGCAAGCTTTCGCTTGAGTTCAAGACGTCCAGTGGTGTAAGGCAAGGCTGCCTCTCTCACCTTTACGCTCTAACCTTGTTAGTGATGTGCTGCTTGCATCCGAAACCTCGGGGGTTGAAATGCTCCCGGGACGTTCCCTCACAGATAGTGAGTATGCAGACGATATTGTCACCCCTGGATCAGATCCTTCAAAACTAACCTAAACCGCTCTGCCGTACGGTCCGACATGCGCTTCACACCTGCAGAGTGCAAAGGGCTGCTACAACAGTGAATGGGATAGAACCCAAACCTCACGCTTGCAGATGAGCTAGTCAATGTGGCAGGAAAATTTGTTTACCTGGGCAGCTGTGTACGTCCCGGTGAACTGGCTGGATATGGGATTTATCGAATCTGGAAAGCCAGGTCAGCTTTTGCCAACCTCCGACACCTATGGCGAAGACATGGCGTCAGTTTGTCTATCAAGGGCAGGGTTCACACTATGGCGGTGCGATTCATACTGCTTTATGGATAAGGCACGTGGCCTTTTTGCGCAGAGGACATACGAAAGATCCCAGTGTTTGACTATCGGTAGCTCCGAAGCATTTGTCAGGTCTGGTAGGAAGCTCAGATAAATAATGTAGCCCAGGAGGAAGGAAATACTCAAGCTTCATAAGTTTCGCTGGTTAGGGCACGTACTCCGCATGCCAGAAGACGATCTGCCTCCCACAGGTCTTATCACCCAGCCATGTGTTGAGTGGATGGGCAGTGTATGACCTGGCAACGAAGTACGAGAACATTAATCAGTAAACTAAGTCTGGTCAACAACTGCCGCTTCCCTGCTTGAGGACCCCGAGACTAAGTTCACCAATGGTTAATGACGGTGACGGAAATGGCCCAATGGCACAGTTAGTGACGCTCATGCACCAAAGCTTCGAGACTTCTGCCGTGCAGACTTCTCAGGAATGCGCATCTTCCTTGAACAAGTCACACTGGGATCAGCTCCGGTGGAAGAACTATATAGGACCATTGTCCAGAAAGTTCATGAGGCTGACGCGACGTTCGTCCCAAAAAAAACGGCACGCACTCGGAGGAACCGCAGGCTGCCAAAAAGGGTTCGGCGACTTCTGGAAAAAAGATACCAACTCTTTTTTAAAAAGTTGACCACAGGGGACACAGAAGATGAGCTGGTATTTCGTAAAATGCGGAATCGCTGTAAATCGGAAATCCCCCAATGGAACATACGGAAACAAGCCACCATCCTGGACCTCGCTCGAAAAAACAAAAACGTACT